GAGGAGAGGCCTCACGGGCCCTGGTGATACGCTGTGCTCACTCCGGGCAGGACAGGACGCACCCTGGACAGGGGACTGGCTCCGGCCCGTGTGGAGAAGAGACCGTGGAGGGAAAGACGAAGAAGTGGGTGTCAGCACAGGAGCTCCTGGGACATCCCGGCAAGGGCGCCGAGGCTGGGGGTGGCAGTGAAGATGGCCAGCACCGCCAGGGTCGGCCCACGCACTAGATGTGGTGTGAGAGGAAGGGAAGAGTCGGGGAGACCCGAGGTTCTCAGGACCAAGAGGCTGGGAGCACAGAGTGAGCAGACTCCTGAGGAAACCGAATAGGGACCCGGCGGGTGGCCGTGGAGCCCCTCTCCACCCTGACTGGGCTCCTCCGGGAGATGGTGCAGTGGTGGAATTTCCCCTTCGCTGACACGCTGTCGTTGGGCCCTGCGGGAGAGTCGCTGGGACCCAGCACCGGTTCTGGAAGGACAGGAACTCGATGAGCACGGTGGGAGGAAAGAGGGGCAGAGAGGGAGAGAGGGGGGAGGAGGTCGGGAGCACAGGGGTCGGGCTGGGCTTGCCGCAGGCCAAGGTCACACACTCACCCCCCTGCAGGCCCTCAGCCTGTGTGCACGCCCCTGTGTCCCCACAGCCCAGACCAGAGGGTTCTGTTTCTTTGGTTTGTTTTCTTTTTTTTTTTATCCTCACCCGAGGACATTTTTCCATTTTTTTGTTCAAATACAGTGGGAGGGAAAGAGAGGGAGAGGGAGAGAGAGAGAAACATCGACGTGAAAGGGACACATCGAGTGGCTGCCACCCGCACAACCCAACCAGGGCCGGGGACAAACTGCAACCAAGGCACATGCCCTTAGCGGGAACCGAACCCAGGTCTCCCCGGACCTCAGGCCAACACTCTAACCGCTGAGCCAAACCGGCCAGGGCGGTTCTGTTTCTTTCGTTTTTGGTTTTTTTTTTTATCCTCACCCGAGGACATTTTTCCATTTTTTGTTCAGGTAGAGTGGGAGGGAGAGAGAGGAACAGAGAGAGAGAGAGAAACATCGATGTGAAAGGAACACATCGAGTGGCTGCCACCCCGCACAACCGACCAGGGCCAGGGACAAACTGCAACCGAAGTATGCGCCCTTAGCGGGAACCGAACCCGGGTCTCTCAGGACCACAGGTCTACGCTCTAACCACTGAACCAAACCGGCCAGGGCCGGTTCTGTTTCTTTCAAGGGACATTCCCAACGGCTTCCCTGGACCTGCAGAAGGCACCCCAGACTTGGAGGTTCGGGTTCAGGCTTGCCAGTGGCTGGCTCGCTCACCACCAGGGCACCGAGGGCAGCTGTATTCGCCCTTCCGCAAAAGGAAACACGTTGTCCATTTGTCCTCTCCCCAGAAACCACCCCACCCCCAGCAGCCCTCCTGACCCCGAGGACGGAGACGACCCCAGCCTTCTCTTTTCCAGACCAAACCTCCTCGGTTCCCCTTCCTCACGTATTCCTTCCATGAGTGCTTTCCGAGCACCTGTAGGTGCCAGCCCTGTGCTGGGCACCAGGGCAAAGGACAAAGAGGCACCATCGCCCACCTCATGGAACCCCCTGTGGGGAGGCCTGAGCAGCTGCGCCAGGTCCCTCTGAGGCCGGCAGCCCCCTCTTCAGGGGCCAATGAGCAGGGCAGGGTTGACTGCAGCTCCCCAGGCCCCCTAAGCCTTGGCTTCCTCCTCTGTGAAATGGGCCAGTGACTGTGTCTCCCTAGGAGGACAGGACCACGTATCTTTCCCCCACTGCTTCTCTCTCTGGAGGCTGCCCCGGGCCCACGGAGGCCTCCCTACGGAGTGGATGAAGGCATCCAAGTGTTGCAGGGTTAACGGCACCAATATATGGGAGCCCACGTGATTCGTGTAGCGTGGTCTCCTGGGGGGATTTCCGGAGGCCCGTCGGACCCCAGCTGCCCCTCCCCAGCCGATCTCGAGAGCCGGCCCTGGCCCCCGCTGGGGTCTGCCAGCACTGGCTGGACAGGAAGGGCCAGATTCCAGCCCCGTGCCTGCTGCTCAGACGCCCACGTGGCACCACCTCCTCTGCTTCCAGAGAGCCAGTGGCATTTCTCGGCGGCCGCTGGGTCGGCGTGTGGCCGCTGAAGACAGCATCCCAGGCACGGTGCAGGGAGAGCAGAGTCTGAGCTCAGCTTTGTCAGGAACTAGCATCCCGGATCCTCGGTAATTTGGTTCAGTTTCAGCTAAAATGAAGCCTGGACCACAGTGATCGCCTCTCCCACCAGAGCTGCAGACATACAACACACTCCGGGGCTGGCGTCTCAGCTGGGCCCGGGCTGCGGGGCGGATGCCAGGTGTATGGCTCTCAGCTGGGCCCGGGCTGCGGGGCGGATGCCAGGTGTATGGCTCTCAGCTGGGCCCGGGCTGCGGGGCGGATGCCAGGTGTATGGCTCTCAGCTGGGCCCGGGCTGCGGGGCGGATGCCAGGTGTATGGCTCTCAGCTGGGCCCGGGCTGCGGGGCGGATGCCAGGTGTATGGCTCTCAGCTGGGCCCGGGCTGCGGGGCGGATGCCAGGTGTATGGCTCTCAGCTGGGCCTGGGCTGCGGGGCGGATGCCAGGTGTATGGCTCTCAGCTGGGCCCGGGCTGCGGGGCAGGCACCGCGTGGGGACTCAGGGCAGCAGAGGCTCATGGGGACGTTCCTCAGTCCGCTGTTACCGCTGTGAATACGCAGCTCCCGCAGGCCTCTGTGGGGTTTCAGGTTGTCTTTGAATCAGAGCGATTTGTCCATCAGGACTTTTGAACTGTCATCCTTGTGGTGCAAAGGGCGTACGCCATGCAGGACCCTAGGGCTACTAGACATAGGGGGCAAGACCCCAACACCCCAGGACTCAGTTCAGACAAACCTTCCCTTTCTTTCCCGGTCACACAACCTAGAGACCTCTGGGGTCCCTCTGGAAAGACTGGGGCCAAGGTGAGGGGCCCCAGTGCCAGAGGCTCCCCTGGAAGCATGGGGCCCCTTCCAAGGCCAATTGGCCCTGAACGGCGGGGTCAGATCGGGCTGGGGTGACTCCCATTTTCCTGTCTTCGTTCTTCTCCTGAAGAAAAACTATGAAATATCTCCCTCTGTGCAGCTTGTAGTCACTCAATAACTGGATAAGGGACTGAGCGTGCCTAGGCATGCGGTTAGTTTGGGGACAGCAGCGCTAAAAAAATAGACGTTTTCTCTTCTGTGACGCACACATCTGAGGGGAAGAGTCAGAGAGCACAGGAGCAGACGGATAATCCTGAGTATAAGGACTGGTGGACGGACGCCGGATGCCCAGGGGAGGTGCCGACTTGGTGGGAGGGGTGGCATCCTGCAGAGGGTGGACAGAGAAGGTGGTCTCCGAGCAGACCTGAAGCTGCAGGCAGGGCACCCTGCAGATATCTGTGCAGAAGCTTTCCCAGCAGACGAAACTGCACGTGCAAAGGTCCTGAGGTGGGACTGTGCTTGTGTGTTCGAGGAAAATGCAAGAAGACCGATGTGACTGGGGCAGAGAAAAATGGGGACAAAAGGCTGCGGAGGGACAGGCAGAGCCTGTGACAAGCAGAGGGAGGACTCAGGATTATTCCAATGGAGTCAGCATCCCAACCGCCCAGGGTGCCAACCGTTTCCAGATCACGTTTGCCAAGGCACAGGGCGGAGCTGGCAGCTACAGGAGTGGCACTAGGGGGTACCTGAGAAGGGCCCAAAGGCGCTCTTGGGAACAAGGGCCGGGGTCGCTCTGCTGCTCCGCTGGTCAAGCGAGGCTTTGAAACATGAAGCTGAATATGCCAAGAACCCTGCTCAGGCCCCCACTCCTGCCTCAGGTCCCTGTCCTGGGTGAGCTTCAAACACAAGGCAAAACCAGACCCCAGACCCTCGAACAGACTGTTTTCAACACAGCCCACGGAGGGCCACCTAGGTCCTGGGATGAAAGGGCACAGAGACACGAAGGAGATTCCGATGTCGGCGCAGGACCCAGCCTGCCTGGCCAAAGCTTCAGCAAGAGGCCTGTTCTCTTCCTGCCCCCTGCTGGCGCCCACATCACCCACAGTCCCCTCCCATGGCTGCCCCCTGCTGGCGCCCACGTCACCCACAGTGCCCTCCCATGGCTGCCCCCTGCTGGCGCCCACATCACCCCACAGTCCCCTCCCATGGCTGCCCCCTGCTGGTGCCCACGTCACCCACAGTGCCCTCCCATGGCTGCCCCCTGCTGGCGCCCACATCACCCCACAGTCCCCTCCCATGGCTGCCCCCTGCTGGCGCCCACGTCACTCCCCAGTCCCCTCCCATGGCTGCTCTAGGTCAGCGACAAGAGTGCCTCTAAGCACTTCTCTTTCAGAGTGCCATTGACCTTCCCCAGTGGAGGGTGCTGGGGGACAAGGCAGGCGGAGATGGCCACCTACTGTCTGTCCTGGACAAAGGGTGGTGTGGGTGTGAGGGTACCGGCGGGATCTCCTGGACTAGGGTCTGCATGTTCCTTCTGCAGGCTCCCAGCCCTGACCAGGGATAAGCTTTCCCCAGCCTTCCTGGCCCAGAGGCCAAGCCCGGTGCACCCACAGGCTCTGAAGGCCCCCTGCTTCACGTCCCAGCCCCTCGCCCATCACCTGTCACCCAGCAGGGCCCCGGCTCCCCTGGTAGCCTCAGGGAGGCCCGGCAAGTGCGCTCGGTGTCACTGTGGACGTCATACTCTTCCCGGGACAACTTCCCACCCTCGACTTTTGCAAATGAATGAGGAGCTGTGGGTGGGTGTGAGAACATCCAGGTGACAGGAGAGGAGAGGGCTGGCTCTAGAGGCCGAGGAGAAGAAACGGGTCCTATTATAAATGCAGTTTTTATTTCAAAAAATAAGAGACCCCAATCCAACCATTTCATGCTGTCAGCCGACCGGAGGGAAGCAGTTCTCCCTGTCCCCTCCTTGGTGCTTGTCCAGGTCCCGGGTCCTGGCCTTTCCCGGGGCCCCCGGCAGTGCTGGGCCCACACAATCTGCCCAGTGCTCACTGCTTTCCAAAGTGGATGAAGAATGTCCGGATTTCCTTCGGGCGGATGGTGACGACAGGGCCTTGGGGGCCTGGGGGCCTGGAGCCGCCTGGGTGGGGCAGAGGTGGTCAGTCCAGCCCTCCCCTGGAGCCCCTGCTTCCCCGGGACACTTCCCCCTTGCACAGCACCACACCTGGTACAGTCTGCTGTGGCTCCCACAGTGATGGCAGAGATTGCCCACCTGCTCCTGCCAGGACCCCACTGCTGGCACCCCCATAATGCCCGTGGGCTGCTTTACTTCTGCCCTGCCCTGAGCACTCAGCCTGAGGGGGGGCAATCTGTAGATTGGTCCTGGTCCCACGTGGCCTCATTTCCCCTTGGGGTGTGGTACCCAACGCCTAAGGGATTTCTCACTGAGGCCATTGGAGGGCACTGCCCCTTGTCTCAATGGGCTCCACTGACGTCATGCCCTGGGGTTCAGGCTCATACTGTTCACCCTTCCTTCCTTTCTTCCTTCCTTCCTTCCATCCAGCCAAGCATTAACCATCCATCCATCCATCCTTCATTGCTTCCATCCAACCATACATTACCCATTCATCCACCCAGCCAGCCATGCATTATCCATCCATCCATCTGTCCATCCATCCTTCCAGCCAGCCATGCATTATCCATCCATCCATCCGTCCGTCCTTCCTTCCAGCCAGCCATTCATTCTATCCATCCATCCTCCACGGACTCGGTGTCCATCTACACCCACCACTATGCTGAGTGCAGTGGATGGAGAGGAGCTGCATGGGACAGAGAATCAGGGGTGCGAGGAGCAGAAGAGGCGCTGACTCTGCCTGGACTTGGTGGAAGCTCGAATGAAGGGCCAGGACAGGCCAGAACGAAGGGCTCCAGGGCCTTCCAGGCAGAGGGAACAGCAGGAGCAGAGCCTGGGAGGCACCAAGCAGCCTGTGGTTGGCGGGAGCCAGCAGCGGTGTGTGCAGAGGGAGGCACAGCATGGCACTCAGAACCCCCTGGGGTGTGCCTGTGAGTTTGGGTCTCTCACTTAGGGTGGGGGCAGGGTGTGGTCTGCACACACACGCACAAGCACATGCCTGGCAGGCACACACTGACCCAAAGCCTCTCTTAACCTACTGTGGTGGATTCAGAAGGGCTGCAGAATCAGAGAAGGCAAGCAGCCTGCTCAAGGTCAAACAGCCCAAAGGGGGCAGCACCGGGATCACAGGCGGCGCCTGAAGCAGGGGCTCCCAAACCTCTGTCCTTCGTCCTCCACCTCCAGCGCTCCAGCTCGCTCACGTTCCAGGTCCCCGTGAGGGAGCGCTCCTCCACAGCCACCACGGGGCCCAGCCCCCGCAGCAGGGCCTGCAGGGAGGGAGCGAGGGGAGGGGCGTCAGCAGAGGACTCCAGCAGCCAGCGGCCACCACACGCCTCCTTCGCTTCATTCTTGCAGCAAATCTCCTGGCACAGGCTGGGAGACCCATTTCACAGGTGGGGAAACTGAGGCCGGGAGGACTGTGCTTCCCAGGTGCCCAGCTGGGGCAGTGAGCCTAGGCGGTGGCAGGCACTCCAAGCCGCCCTCCAACACTGAGCTCCCTCCCGCCCCGAGGTGCTCAGGCAGCACCAGGCCTGGCCCCGGAAGGAAGCCAGTCATAGTCATCCACCCCCTTTGCCAGGTAGCTTGACCCAGCCACCTGTGCAAGCCCACTGGCCATTCAAGGCAGGGACCGTCTGCTGACCAGGAGGGCGGGGAGGGCTCAGGGGCAGCTTTCCTGTGCTGGACGCACGCACAGAGGAGGCCCCTGGTGCCGCCACCATCCCCCCTTCGCCTTTATACCTGCTTGTGAAGCCTGAGCCAACTCGTGAGCACAGGCCACCAGCAGGAAGGAAAAGAGCCAGTGTGCCGACAGCCCGGAGGACAGAGGTGACCGGGGCCCTGAGGACAGCACTAGGCAGCTGAACACGGACATCCACAGCCCACCCGACGGGCTGGGGGGAGAACACCGGCCGTTCCACGCGCTGGCCGGCGCTGACACCTGCGGCCAAGCTCATTCCTAACGGGACCACTCGGGCCACCCCGGCCAGCACACGGAGAAGAGCGCGTGGTGTCCCCCTGTCTGTCTGGTCTGCACCGTGGAGGTGGTGCAGGGTGACTGACGTCCAGGCCTCCCTCTGCCTTGTGCCCACACACGCTGGCTCAGGCCGGGCATGCGTGGCTCAGACGTGCTCTCAGCCTCCACAGGGCCGTGGGGCTGGGAGCTGGGTGAGGAAGGAGATGGACCCCTGACCCCTGCGGTGCAAGGGCCGTGAAAGGGGGCATCTGGAAGGCACCGTGGAGGGAGGCTCTGGGGTGGGTCACTGCGGTGCTGCCGGATCCCACTGAGGACACAGGCATCAGAAACAACCGAAGCGAACTCGGTGAGGTTAAGGGAGTCCCGTGGGCAGGCGACAAGCAGAGCTCCCAGCCCCACAGAGCCCCAGCTGAGGGGAAGGGGCGTCTGACGGGCCTCCCACGGGAGGAGGCCAGGCCGGCCACTGGTGGGACCTTTGCGTATCCTGATACACCTCTTTGCCAAGGTCATTTCTGAGTCAGGATTGTCACCCTTGGAATTTGACTCCCTGGCCCAGCATCCCCCCAAGAGGCCGAACACGGGGGCCTGGCAGCAGGACAGGGGAGGGGCCGTGTACCTTCAGATTCACCCTCACCGGCCGAGACAGGGATGGGTGCTCCCCCACCTCGTACAGGTGGTGCAGCCGCAGCAGGACGCGGCGGAGGTCGGCCTTGGGCTTCCTGTGGCGGCCTTAGGACAGAAGGGGGGCGGTGAGGGCCCTGCGTGCCAGGACTGCACACACTCACTGCATTTCACACCCTCGAGCTCCCGGGGAAGAGGCTGGCACGGCCTCCGCGCGCTGGACGAGGAAACCAAGGCTCAGAGAGTGGCAGCCCCTTGCCCAAGGCCACAGAGCCGCTCCAAGGGGCATGTCTGGAGAGCCTCGGTCCTGGGCCACTGGTGGTCCCCGTGGCCTTGGCTTCAAATCCTCCAGGCTCTGGAATAGTCTCTCCTCTGCCCACGGAGTGTGGTGTGGCCACGCCCCACAGCCAGTGCGAAGGGAGCGAGGTGACGTGTCCCGCGACAGAAGCCTTTTCGGCCGCCATGACCAAGGCAGCATGTGGCACACTGCAGCCGCCATCTGGGGTGGCCACGCGGGCTGGGCACGGGGCGGGGTGCGCGTGCGGTCAGCGCAGGGGGAGTTGGGCCCTTTTCCGTGGGACAGGTGTGTAAACTGTCTTCCCCGTGGTCCCCGTGCAGTGGTCCAGGCCCCGGGTGACGGCGGCGACGGTGAGGATGACGGCGAGGAGGAGAGAGCCTGCTCCATACGGGCTCCTGGGCACCTGGGCCTCACACCGCTCCGAAGCGCCCCTCCCCCTCCCCAGGGAGAAGCGACTTTCTCATCAGTGGGTCTGCGGCAGGCGCGGCCCAGCCCCTTTGTCCTCCCCTTTGGGGGCCAGCTGCCTGCAGAAGTCAGCTTCTCAGTCCTACTTAGCCACCCACCGCTGTGGGAAGGGCAGGCTGCTGAGGCGCTGCCCCGCCCAGTGCTCCTGTGACCCTGAGGGCTGAGATGCTGCGGTTCGGTGTGAGGAAGCCACAGGGACGCAGAAATGAGCCAAGGTCTCCCATACCCACTGTTTCAGGGACAAGGGTGTCATTTGCCCTGCCGCCTCTTCCTCTTTTCAATGCCACCGATTCTCACTTTGTGGGGGGAAGCTTTGGGAACCCCAGGGTGACGGAGGCGCAGTCAGCCTGCCTTCTCGTGTCAAGGGGCAGAGGCGGTGCAGCTGGAGCTTTGACAATAGGACCAGTGAGTTCCTGGTAGGTCTCACCTCCACCATGAAGCCCTCCCTGGTGCCCAGCAAGGGGCTTCTGTCTGATCACTGTCATTCCTGCCTGGTCACCTGACTGCTTCCCCTACACCAAGAGCTCAGTGAACAGAGACCTTGCTACACTGGCCGTGGCACAAGAGACATTGTTGGATGAATGGATGACGTTGGGGGCAGTCGGCCGCCGAGCCCAGAGGAGGACGGGAGTCAGGCGCACGGCCCAGGAGGAGTCTGGGAGGAAGCAGGACAGCGTGCCGCCCTGCCGTTGGGCAGGGTGTGGACGACGGTCTGGAGATGGAGGCAGACTGAGGAGGGATCCACGGGAGAATCGTTTGGGCAAGTCCTGGGCTGGGGTCCGGGTCCACCTGTCCCTGGTCACTGTGGGCCTCAGTCTCTCCATTGGGTACGTAAAGGGACCAGGTGACCTTTCAGAGCCATGACAGCGCTGAGCAGGGCCCCCTCCACCTGGTGGGAGGGTCGGGGGTCTGGTTGACATGGGGAGGGAGCAGTGGGTCGGCCCCTTGGACACCGGGCTCACCTTTGTGGAGATTCCGCAGATGCTCCGTGTGGTTGGAACTGTAGTTCCAGCCGGGGATGCTCAGGATCTGCAGGTGGAGACTTGGGGGCAGCGTCACAGCCTCTGGTTGGGGCGTGGACCAGTTCAGGTCAGCCTCTGCAAAGCAGAGGGACAGAGCAAGGGAGAGGGCTCAGGGCACCTTCCTCCTCCTGCATTCGGTGCTGTCCACTCTGTGGTCCCACGACAGCCGCTCTCCCGGCCTCCCCACCTGCAGCCTACACCGCCTGTCCAGAGCCCCCCAGGCTCCGCATCCGGGCCTTTGTTCCCCCAGGTCCTTCCCCCCAAAAGCCCCTCCTCCCACAGGTCCAGCTGCTCAGATGACGAGTCTAAGAGCTGGACAGACCCTGAATCTCTAGTCTATCCATTTCAAACTCCACATGGGGGTACCAAGGCCCAGAGGGGTCACTGTTTGTTCCAGATCAGACGACGAGTTCACAGAGAGCCCTGTCTTCAAGTCGGGGCTGCCAGCTCCTCCCTTGTTTTGCCATCAATGGGTCTCTCTGCTCAGAAGACACCTCCACCCCCTCCTCCCTCTAGAAAATGCACCTTTCGACTCTGGGCTGCAGCTGGAGGGCCATCTCCCCACAATACCCCAGGCCACCGTGACTGGTGCCAGCTCAGGTCACATGACCCAATCAGGACCAATCAGACTCTTTCCCTGGGACTTTTGCATTTGACACCCAAAGCTGGAGTCTCAGTTCCTCGGGCCCCAGAGCTGCTCAGGGCCACGGCCCAGGCGGAGGAGAAAGAAGGTCCGTAGGCAGAGAGGAGCACAGGCGGCAGGAGGGGGAGGGACCCCTCACGAAGGCTCCAGCCTGGGGAACAGTTACACCCCTGCCCTCCCTCGATGTGGGCCTGGGAATAAAGTCTCCTGCGGCTCAGACGTCCACGCCGGATTTCTCTCACTTGCAACCAACAGAGACTAGAGTGAGGCCGTGGGCGGAGCTGAGCACAGCCGGGCTTTCTCAGACGGCACACGTCCCTCGGTCCCTCCGTGAGAAAGGCTGCCTTTCCGGGAAGAACCAGGGACTGACCCCGGAGCAGCCCCAGCCCTACCAACCAATCAGACCCCACTCCTGGGATCTGCAGCGTGGGCCCGGAGGGGACCGGCAGCGGTGCTGGGAGAGAGGCCCCGGCTGCCCTGCCTCCTGCCTGCCCAGGCCACTGTCCAGCTCCTCCCCCAGCCATGAGCTTCCCCAGGCTCTGCCCCACCCCCGCCCCACCCGGCTGCTCCGTTAGTGTCTTTACTGCTAAGTGACGTCCCTCGAAGCTGCTCTATGATCTCATCTGGCTTGTGTATCACACTACCCGAACCCCACAGGTCACCTCTCTCCAGCCCCACACCCCCGCCCTGAACCCTGGATCCGTCTGGCTGTGTCTCTTCCAAAGACATCCCGTGAGGAATCCCTCAGGAGAGGGCTGGGCCTGACGTCACAGCCTCGGCCCACAGCCAGGCCTCCGAGGGCACCCACCCGCCCCAGGGCCTCCCTGGCCCCTCGGCTCCTCACTGCTCAGGTTGGCCAACACCACCACAGGCCGGTGCTGCAGGGCCAGCCCAGCCCTCGGGCGCAGGGAGGTCATCTCTTTCTGGGGTCCCAGCAGGAGCCAGAACACCGGGTGAATGGTCGAGACCTCGTTCAGCGTGAGATTGTACAGCAGAGAAAGCGTCAGGTTGTTCCAGAGTCGCCGGTTCAGCATGACCTGCAGGGGAGAGTCAGTGGCAGGTGCCCTGGCACCTGGGCTGCCTGGGGGGCGGGGCGGGGCCTCCTCCTACCTCCACCTGCCCTTCGCCCTGGCTGGAGACACCGTGTGCCTGCTCCGACAGCAGCACCAGCCTGCTCCTCTGGTCCTCGATGTAGGCCGACTGAACCATGGGGTAGTAGTTCTGCAGACAAACATGGCCAGGCCACGCGCAAGGTGGACCACCTGGTCAGGGATCACCTCTGGCCTCCCCAGCGAACCCCCAGCTCGCGGTGACATGGGTTAAGGGCTCTGACTCTGAAGACAGACAGACTGGGACTCCTACGCAGCTCCCCTGCCACCTGACCTTATGAGCCGGGGGATTGCACCCACTCGAGCCTCAGTTTCCCCTTCCGTAAATGGGGCACAAAGACCCATCCTGGACAGCTGGTGCAGGAGTGAGTTACCCGGGCCGACGGGCGCCCAGTGCGAAGGGGCCTGCAGGCAGAATTCCCTGGGGCTGGCAGGCTGGGCTGTCCGGGCCCAGCTGCAGAGGGTGGGGACCAGCACCCAGATGACAGGGAGCGAGCTCCAGGAAGGCAGAGCAGGGTGGGGACACTGCACCCAACAGGCCTCCATGGAAGGAAAACCAATGCAGGCGCACTGAGGGCACGCGAGGTGCCCGGCACCTGCTTCCTCTGGGTGCTCCCTGGGGACCCTCACAGCTCTGGGCGAGGAGTTACCCACTTTCCCGGGAGAAGTCACAGGCACAGGGAAGCTATGTTCCTTGTCCATGGTCACCCAGCCTGGAACTAAAGGACGTGGGAGCTGAGCCTGACTCTGCCCGGTGGTGCTCACCGCTTGGCCAAGCTGCCCGGGTGCCCGGCTAAGAGCACTGAATGTGGGCCAGGCCCCGCTCAGCCCTCGGCAGGCATCACCCCTAATCCTTAGGACAAGTCTGATGAGCCCTCCTCTACGGACGAGGGAACCAGGTACAGACGGGACCCTCGGGGACTTTCCTCAGCACGTGGCCCCGAGTTCACCCACCAGGGCGAGCCGAGCCTGTGCCTCCGCCCCCTGATGGCAGCACAGGGACGGGGCTCTGGCAGCCTCTCCAGGGGGCTCGGCGGCTCCACTGACACCCAGCGCTCTACTCTGGCCTCACGGGAAAGCGCCCAGGGCTGCCTCGTGGCACCGCGCTGAGGGCGTACCCGAGCGATGCTGTTGGTGGCGAAGGTCCGGTGGGGCCTCCGCTGCATCTGGTAGCCGTTGCTGTCCGAGTGGAGCACCTGCCCGCTGCGCAGATCGGTTCTGGTCCTCAGGATGACCTCCTGGTTCCGCTCCAAGGGGCCCACCCAGTACTCCTGCTCTATGCGATGGCAGAGCAGCTCCTGGTCACGGCCCCGGGGCACGTGGGCCAGGCGGGTGTAGATGGCGTAGGAGTAATTCTTGGCTTTTACCGTCCTGGGAGAGAAGAGCTGTGTCAGGAAGCAACCGCAGGGGCTGTGGCTGCCCTTCCCCTCCTCCTTCCCTCCTTTCCCGCCTTCCTGCTTCCCTCCGCCCTCCCTCCTGCAGACAGGCAGGGCAGACAGGTGCCCCTCAGGGATCGAAGGGCGGAGCCATTCCTGATGGTGCCCAGCCAGCCAGGCCTGATGCCATCTGTCTGTGCTGTCAGTGAACACACGAGGACGTTTGTGTGTAAGCCACCGGCACCGTGGGTCCCCGTTCCAGCTCGGACTTGGACACCACCAAGGTGACACCGCATGCGCACAGCAGAGCGAGTCACCGCGCCTGACGGCCACCAAGCAGTGGCCATGCCAGGCCCAGGCCCAGGAGCTTGGCGTCCGAGCAGACTGGCTCTCAGCACCGCCCGCAGGCGGAGGCAGCGCACCTGTAGAAGCACAGCGCACCTGTAGAAGCGCAGCGCACCTGTAGAAGCGCAGCGCACCTGTAGAAGTACAGCGCACCTGTAGAAGCGCAGCGCACCTGTAGAAGTACAGCGCACCTGTAGAAGTACAGCGCACCTGTAGAAGCACAGCGCACCTGTAGAAGCGCAGCGCACCTGTAGAAGCACAGCGCACCTGTAGAAGTACAGCGCACCTGTAGAAGTACTGCCGGATCTCCGTCACCAGGTGCCCGCGCACGACCTCCATTCTCACCACCTCCCACAGCGGTTTTGCGCGGTGTTTAGGCCGAAACTTATAGTTATCAGAAACGGGGCCACGATCTATATTGCCGTGGACCTCATACTCCAGGAACTCCTGGTCCACGAGGACTGTCTGGCCGCTCTGTCTGCAGAGGCAGCAAAGAGGAAGCAGTATTACTGCCATGGACAAAGCCCCCGGGCGTTGCCGGCGTGAGCTAGAACCCAGCTCACCACCCTCTCTGCAGTCACCAGCCAACCAGGAGTGAGCGACGTCACAGAGCCTCTCCATGAAGCTCGGGCACTTGGTTCCGATAAAAGCCCTGTGGACCCATCCTCCACGCCCTGGCCCTGAGTGGGTCACACAGGAAGAGGGACAGAGGCCTGAGGGCATGGGCACTGCCACTGCCACAGAGGAGACCACCCACCCAGGTGGCCAGCAGCCCCTAGCAGCACAGGGATGGGTTTTCACGTGCTGACTGCAAGCTGTCCGGATGTCCCACACCAGTGCGTCACTAGGTTCTCATCGTCAAATACTCATGGTCCCGGGGCAGGGAGTACAGAGCCACATCCCCCAGCTCACACCTGTAGGAGGTGCCTGCCACTCCACCCATCAGGTGGGCTTGGGGGGAGGGAGAGGCAGGGGACACTATTTGGATGGTGGGTCTGTGTGGTCTAAGGAAATGCCCGCATGTGCTCACATCAGACCGTGGCCCCGCCAGGCAGCAGAAGGTAAAGAGACGCCTCTAGACCCACTCTGGGGCTTTCTTAGGGATGGTGCTGGGCACAGAAAGGGGCACAAGACACCCAGGGAGCCCCTCCGAGCCCCTCTGAAGAGGACAGAGCAAAGACTCCTTTTTGTCAGCCTGGTACCCAGTGCCTTTCCCATCTGGGTCCAGGTGCCCTACCCCACCCTCTTTCACAAACACTCCCCCAGGGCCACCAAGAAAGAGAAGAGTCCCCCACAGAACAGGAGATTTGCAAATCACAGCTGACAAGGGACTTTCCTCTAGAAAAGATGAACTCTTACAACTGAATAATAACAAGGCAACCCAATGTTCACACGCACCGGGGTCTGCACAGACCTTGCTCCAGAGAAGACGTACAGGTGGCCAACAGGCACGCAAGGGCACTCAGCGTCCTGGTTAACGAGCAAATGCAAATCCGAAGCACCCCGAGACTCCCCTTCACCCCTGAGGACAGCTATCCTCGAAAAATCAGAAAGTGACAAGTGTGGGTGAGGATGTGACCCCCACACGCTGCGGTGGGACCAGAAAATGCAGTTGTCACCGTGGGAAACAGTCTGGCAGTTCCTTAAATGGTAAACACAGATTTATCCTGTGACTTAGTAATCCCACTCCTAGGCATCTACCCAAGAGAAAGGAAAACTATGCTCCCAAAAAAACATGTACGTGTATAGTCACAGCAACATTATTCAGAGGAGCCCAAAACTGGAAACGACCCGAATGCCCATCAGCTGTAGATGGGTCAATAACACTGGTCTGTCTAAGCGGTGGAATGTTACTATGCCATGAAAAAGGAATGCAGTACTCATCAAATGTGCAACATGAACGAACCTTTGGGAACATGATGCTAAGTGACAGAAGCTAGTCACAAAAGGACCGCATGGGGTCTGTTTTCATTTTATGAAATATTCAAATTGAGTAAATCCAGAGAGACCGAAGATAGATGAGACCTGCCAGGGCCCAGGGAGATGAAGGGGAAGCACGAGACTTCTCCTTGGGGTGATGAATACGCTCTAAAATCGACTGGTGATGCCTGCACAGCTCTGAATATACTAAGAAGCATAGACGCGCATGACTTCAATGGGTGGATGGGACGGTCCGCGCATTATAGCAACACAGCTGGTACCCAAGGAGAACAAAAACTCCCCTCACCCACCTGCGCCGGGGATTCATCAGTACACACCGTGGCTCCCAGGTTTGCACAGGCAGTTTCCTTCTATGGGACAACGGTCCCTCATCTGCGACAGCAGGTCCTCTAGCCCTCGAAGGCCTCAGGTGGGCTCCCGGGGCTCCTCCCCCAAAGCGTCCTCTGAGCATGCCCATTCTCAGCAGCTCCCCTCTCTATGTGCCAGGCGAAGGTTCTGCAGTTTAGCCCCACTGGTACTTCAGGGAGCCAATAAGAAACACCCCTCTCCTCATCTGAGTCCAAAGCCACGGAGAGACAGACAGGGACCAGGCAGATGGACAGCAGGACCAGGCTGAGGTGTGGGGCATCAAGGGCTTGGAGAAAGGGGTAGCGAGCTGGAGCTGGCCCAGGCGGGGGCATTCCAGAATGGGGCGCGGGGCCCGAGCAAAGAAGGACCCCAAAGCCAGCATTGACTCCTCCTTTCTCCACCTGACCATGGAGCTCAGAATGTGCTAAGGGCCACGCTCCATTTCTGATGCTCCCCCACACTGCCCGCTCTCGGCCCCCTGCAGGCTCTCGAGAAGGATCTCATCTGGGGGGAAGTCCCGGGTTCTGCGTCTGCACAGGGCTGACAGTCCCGCTCTCCCTCGTCTCCCGTCTCCCTCACCCCTTCCCTTCTTCTCACTCTCTCTAGGGGTCCTCCCAAACTGCCCGCCCCTTCACACCTCCGCTCCTGGTTGGAGGCCACCTCGGGAAATGGGAGTGGGGCTCTGGCAGAGGCAGCGGGCGGCAGCGAGGCTGTCTGGGGTGTGGCCTGAGGGGGAATATGGTTGGCCCCAAACAACCAGGGAGATCTTTGTGGGAGTCAGCTGCCCTCTCTGCCATGAAAAAGTAGCTTCTGAATGAGTGGCTACATGGGTGGATGGGTGGATGGGTGGATGGATGAATGGGTGGGTGGATGGGTGGGTGGGTGGGTGGATGGGTGGGTGGGTGGATGGGTGGGTGGGTGGGTGGATGGGTGGGTGGGTGGGTGGATGGATGGATGGGTGGATGGGTGGGTGGATGGGTGGGTGGGTGGGTGGGTGGGTGGGTGGGTGGGTGGATGGGTGGGTGGGTGGGTGGGTGGGTGGATGGATGATGGGTGGATGGATGATGGGTGGATGGATGGGTGGATGCATGCGTGGATGGGTGGGTGGATGGATGGGTGGGTGGGTGGGTGGGTGGGCGGATGGATGGATGGATGCGTGGATGGATGGGTGGATGGATGCGTGGATGGATGGGTGGGTGGGTGGATGGGTGGGTGGGTGAGTGGATGGATGGGTGGGTGAGTGGATGGATGGATGGATGGATGGATGGATAGATGCATGCGTGGATGGGTGGGTGGATGGATGGGTGGGTGGGTGGGTGGGTGGGTGGATGGATGGATGGATGGATGGATGCGTGGATGGATGGGTGGGTGGGTGGATGGATGGGTGGGTGGATGAATGTGTGAAAGGATGGAGGTCAACAGACAGTCTGATGGATTGTAGATAAATGGGAACAAAAATGGATGGGTTTGCAAATGGATGGGTGGATGAACAGATGGATAGGTGGGTGGGTGGATGGGTGGGGTGGATGGATGGATGGATGGATGGATGGATGGATGGATGGATGGACATATGGATGGATGAATGAATAGATTGGACAGGTGTGTGGATACAGGGGTGGGGTATATGGAAGAATGGAGGTGTGAATGGGTGAACAGAGGAGTGAGTGAATAGATAACAGATTGGAGAGTAGGGTGGATAAATGAATAAATGGATGGAGAGATGGGTAGTCTGGTGTGGGGGTGAGTAGATTATTGATTTTTATGTTTCACTAAATTTTAAAAAGTGGGTAAAATGAATATTACATAAAATAAATAAGGGACTTCCAGTCAAGATGGTGGCACAGGTAAATGCGGTCTCGCCTCCTCCCACAACCACATCAAAATGACAACTAAGCCCTGGTTGGTTTGGCCCAGCAGTTAGAGCATTGGCCTGCGGTCCAGAGAAACGTGGTTCGGTTCCCGCTAAGGGCATGTACCTCAGTTGCAGTTTGTCCCTGGCCCTGGTTGGGTCGTGCAGGTGGCAGTCACTCGATGTGTCCCTTTCACGTCGATGTTTCTCCCTCTCTCTCTTTCTCCCCGCCCCCACTCTATCTGAACAAAACTACAACACAACCATCATTGAGAACCCCCTGAAATCAAGCTGAATAGAACTCCTACAATTATGAGATTAAAGCAGCAGCAGCATCGAGACTGGTAGGAGGGCGGAGGCGGATGGGCTGGTCCCACACGGACGGGTGGCGGATAAAAATCAGGAGGACACCTCGGCTGGAAAGGTCCTCCCTGAGGAGTGAGGGGTCCCCATCCCATACCAGGCGCCCAGCTCAGGGTTCTAGTGCCAGGAATAAAAGTCCCCATCACTTCTGGCTATAAAACCAGCGGGAACTGAGGCTCAGGGAGGCTGAGGCTGCTGGACCCCAGGCAGCTCCTCTTAAAGGGCCCACGCACGGACTTACTCAGACTCGCTCCTTCCAGGCTCCAGCGTGGGGGAGGCAGCTTGAACGGCACCAGAGACATATGGGGAAGAACTGAGCTGTTTGGCCTCAGGACGAGGGCTAGAGAGGCAGCTTTCTCCTGGACAGACATGCTGGTGGAGGCTAATGTTTCTTTGGTGAGCCCTTCCCAGGGCGGTAGATGGCCCCCATATCTGGGACCCCAGCAACCTGGCTCACACTGTTTGCCTCACCCTGGTGATTCCCTGGGACCCCACCCCATCTAACTTTGGGGTCCACCCAAGCTGTTTCCAAAGGCTTTACCATAGAATTTCCCTGTCTTGGATCCTGCTTCAGAGTTTCTAAAATCTCTCAAACAAGCAGCATCTGGTCTCAGTGAGCCCCATACCTCTTGTTAAGTGGCCCCAGGCCTGGCACTAGGAGCAGCCAGGCTTGGATCACAACTTGGCTTTTCCTGGGCACCTCCAAGCCAGCACAAGCAGCAGCCATCTGCAGATCACTTTGTAGCTTATGCCAGGTGGCCCTAGTAGAACGCAGGCAGTGGCTGACCTGGCCCCAGAGCCAGTACACCCAGTGGACAGCTTCAGACCACATTGAAACATAAGTGACACACTCAATGAGCGGACTCAGTAGGTACCAGAGCCCTGATGAAGTAAGTCTTGCTCTGTGTGCTGGGTCCCTACACAGCTGATTCTCCAAGGTGGTCAGAGGCCAGTGGTTAGTGGGCACAGTCAGTTCTTGCAACTGATCAGCCTGAGTAAGTCTCTCCCATTGACCTGCCAACAGCAATCAAGACTCATTTACAACAGAAGGGTGTACAGTCCATACTAGGGGTGCACCTCGAGGGCCCAGCTGGGGTGATTAGGGAGGCTGTGCCACTGGATCCTACAGGACACCTGCAACAATAGGCCACCCTACAAAGCCTAGGAGACATAGCAACTCTACCTAATACATAGAAACAATCACAGGGAAGCAGACAAAAGAGGAGACAAAGAAACATGTCCCAAATGATAGAAAAGAACAAAACTCCAGGAAAAGAATTAAACAAAATGGAGATAAGCAATCAATCAGATGCAGAGTTCAAAACACTGGTTATAAGGTTGCTTAAGAAACTTGGTGAGACCTTCAAGGAACTTAAGGAGACTTCCACAGAACTTAATAAGAACATCAACAACATAAAAAAGGACCAGTCAGAAATGAAGGATGCACTAACTGAAATAAAGAATAATTTATAGGGAATCAATAGTAGAGTAGGTAAAGCCAAGAAGCAAACCAATGATTTGGAATATAAGGAAGCAAAAAACACCCAATCAGAACAGCAAAAAGGAAAAAGAATCCAAAAACATGAGGGTAGTGTAAGGAGCCTCTGGGACAACTTCAAGTGTGCCAACATTCGTATCATAGGGGTGCCAGAAGGAAGAGAGAGAGAGCAAGAAATTAAAAACTTATTTGAAACAATGACAGAAAACTTCCCTAACTTGGTGAAGGAGACAGACATACAAGTCCAGGAAGCACAGAGAGTCCCAAACAAGTTGAACCCGAAAAGGTCCACACCAAGACACATCATCATCAAAATGCCAAAGGTTGCCCTGGCTGGTTTGGCTCAGCAGTTAGAGCATTGGCCCTCGAACCAGAGAGTCCTGGGTTTGGTTCCCGTGAGGGCACGTACCTCGGATGCAGTTTGGCTCCCGCCCCAGTTGGGGTCATGTGGGGAGCAACCACTTGATGTGTCTTTCTCACATCTATGTTTCTCTCTCTCTCTTCCCCCCTCTCTCCCTCCCGCTCTACCTGAAAATAAATGAAAAAAAAAAAAAAATGTCCTCGGGTGAGGATTAAAAAAAAATGCCAAAGGTTAAAGACAAAGAGAGAATCTTAAAAGCAGCAAGAGAAAAGCAATTCATTACCTACAAAAGAGCTCCCATAAGACTGTCAGCTGACTTCTTAAAAGAAACTTTGCAGGCCAGAAAGGAGTGGCAAGAGATATTCAAGGTGATGAAAAGCAACAACTTACAACCAAGATTACTCTATCCTGCAAAGCTATCATTTAGAATCGACGATGGATATCAAGAGTTTCCCAGACAAGAAAAAGCTAAAGGAATTTATCACCACCAAACCAGCATTATATGAAATGTTGAAGGGTCTTCTTGAAGGAAAAGAACAAAAATATGAACAATAAAATGGCAATTAATACATATCTAGCAACAACTGAATCAACAAACAAAATGAACAAACAGAACAGAAACAGATTCATAGATACAGAGAACTTTTTGTTGCTTGCCAAATGGGCAGGGGCTGGGTGAAAAAGATGAAGGAATCAAGAAGTACAAATTGGCCCTGGCCAGTTTGGCTCAGCGGTTAGAGCGTCAGCCTGTGGTCCTGAGAGACCCAGGTTCGGTTCCCGCTAAGGGCACGTACTTCAGTTGCAGTTTGTCCCCAACCCTGGTTGGTCGTGCGGGTGGCGACCACTCGATGTGTCCCTTCACATTGATGTTTCTCTCTCTCTCTCCCTTCCTCTCTCTCCCTCCCACTCTATCTGTACAAAAAATGGAAAAATGTCCTTGGGTGAGGATAAAAAAAAAAAAAAGTACAAATTGGTTGTTAGACTGATGAACCTCAAAGGGAAGGGGGGAGGGAGGGCGGGATGAAATAAACCAAAGAACTTCTATGCACATGTGCATAACCAATGGACACCGACAACAGTGTGGGGAAGGCAGGAGGGGGCAGGATTGAGGAGGAGGGGGGTTCGTGGAAGGAAAAATGGGACATCTGTAACACATTCAACAATAACGATAAGTTTAAAAATAAAATAAATACATAAAAATGAATAAGATGAATATTATATTTCTTCCCTGGGGTGGGGGGTCCCTCAACACCCCCTTTTCCTCAGAATCAACAGCTCTGGAATGAAAAGGTTCGAGACCGTCTTTCTTGCACTGGCCCAAACTCATACTCTCAGAAATAAAGAAGGTAGAATACAGACAGGCTTTCACCACCGTCAGGCCCTTCCCCAGGCAGGTGAGGACGTTCAGACACGTGGGGGGTGACGGCCCAGGCCCAGGGAAGCCTCCACCTCAGAGCTCGCAATGGCTGCACCTCACCTGTCCCAGATGCTGTGCATCAGGTTGGTATCCTGGTCGAGAAAGACAGTGTAGCACTCGTTCGTAACAGACACCAGGCCCATGCAGCTGGGCCTCGGGCGTCCCCTTCGCCTGAGGGGAAACCTGGAAGGGACAGGCATGGTGATGCGTGTTATTTGACCGTGCTCCTGGTCCTCCTTGGTGGGCCTGATACAATAGCGTCGGTAACTGAGGCCTGGGATCGTGGTCAGCATATACAGGACATATTTAGATGGCAGCTCCTTCGATTTCTGGACCTGCAGGTCCTTAAAGGTATGAGATAAAACAGGGATTTCAGGGCTGGAAAACACCAGTTTCCTCATTCACCCTTAGCTTGCCCACGGCTCACTGCCCACGAGGCAGCAGGGTCTTTCCATTATTGAACTGAGCTGAGTCTCATTGTGTCCTCCCTGCTCAGCGGGACCCAGCCCTGGCCCCCTCCCCCTCCCCTGCCGCCCTCCCTCCCTCCAGGCACTGACAGCCCTTCCTTCCCCGCCGGGTCTCGCCTCTGAGCCCCTGCTCACGCTGTTCCCTCTACCTAGAGGGCCTTCTCTTGGGAGGGGGTAGCCTTACTCCCCAACCCTCCAGTTTCCCACGGAGGGATGCTTTCAGGATGCTCCTGGCCTTTTCCATCCCCCTCCTCTGGCTTGGGGGTGGGTTTGAAGAAGGCGCCGGGCACTCAGCGACCGCCCTGGCTCACTAGGGGAAGTGTGCAGTCTCTGAGCCCCTGTGGGAGGCCTTGCAGGGGCCCCATTGGCACACCCCCGATTGCCACCCTCCCAGCCTTTGTCTGAGGTGTAGCAGATACCTTGTCCCCCACTCCTGCTTGGTGATTTTCCTCTGTCAAGCGGTCATTGTCACAGTCTGTCTTTCCTTCTTTTGTTTACTGTCTCTCCAGCTAGAATGCGGGCCCGGGGCTGGGGCTTTGGGTAGTACAGTACCCCAGTGCCTGGACCAAGCCCTGACACACAGCAGGTGCTCCAGCACATTCGTTAAGTGACTTACTCTAAGGGTAAGGGGGTGTGACGTGCTGGGTCTGCAGAGACCAACGCCCTCCCTCCAGCGCCCCCAGTCAAATGAACTTCTCCTCCTCCTGTCAGCTGAGGGGGCTGGCCTGGCTCCCGGGTCATCACTTCACACACTAACTGTCCTGCTCCCCCTCCCCACAGGGACACCAGTGACACGTCCAGAGACCCAGAACTCAGCCCAGAGCCAGGCCCAGGCACAAGGGAGTGTTTGCTGAATGGCTGACTGATGGCACCTCCCAGGGAAGGGTCCGCAGGATGACAGGTAGGGTGCCCTGGAGAGGGGGACGGACCACACACACGGTGGTGTCTGGTGCTGGGGAGAGAGGCAGCATGGGCCTCCGCCCCCAATATCCGCACCTCCCTAAAGCATGCGTCGGACACCGAAGGCCTTTCCCTTGAGAGTTACACTAGAATATATATACGCCCCAGGGGGGGGGGGGGGCTGCCTCTCTGGCAGTGCGCGCCACACCTGAGGCCCCCAGGGAAGGGACAGGACTGGGGGACTTGTGACCAGGGCAGATGCCCAAGCCCGTCAGGCCCTGGGGAGACTGGGGCCCTCCATGGACACACCCCACGTCGATGTGCTCAGTGCGGGGGGCTGTCGGCCGTCTCCTCCCTCTGCTCCCACTCCTGGGAGCCTGACTGGAGCACGTGTCAGCGACAGGAGCGTCCCCTGCAGGAAGCACGCCTGTACCTGTGTGCTGACGGGGCGGCCTGTCTCATCCGTGACGTTGACCGTGGAGAAGCCCAGAGTCAGGTTGACAATAGTGGTGACAGTCCAGGCCAGGGGATTGTAGACCACGGCGAGGTATCCCTCAGACTCTGGGCCTGCGCAGAGAGCGGGCTTTACATGTTGCTGTGACCCACGCGACACACAGGTGCCCCTCGGTGCAGGAGGAGCAGGAGGAGAGACCCGGCCCTGCAGAGCTCCAGGGAGCCGCCGAGAGGACCAGGTTCCAGTGGTGGTCATCCCTGCAGGGCTCTGCCCTCTGCTCTGCCCCTGTCCCCAGTGTCCCTCCAAACAGCTGAGGTTCTGTGCTCCTCGCTCACCCACCCTGTCAGCCCTCCCTCCTGATGAGGAAACTGAGCCCAGAGAGGTAGAGTCGCCAGCCCAAGGTGACCCAGGTCCTAAGGCCCAGCTCCAAAGCTTTGAGTGCCCGGCATTGTGAGCGACCAGAGAATTCTCTGGAGCCCAGAAGGTCAAGTCCAAGTGCTCAGCCGAGCAGTCAAGACCCCCGTGGTGTGGACCTGGAATTCCTTCTGTTCTGTCCTGCGTGCCGCGTGCCCGGAGCCCTGAGCACGGCACAGCCCAGGCCGCCCCCTCGGCTCAGATGCCTACCTGGTCCCCTCCACCCACGCCTTGCTGGGGTGCTGCCCAGGGAAACTCCTGGGGAGGGGCTGCCTTGCTCTTTCCACAACGGTCTCCCACCACCCCAGACCCTGCAGGTGGGCACTGTGTGCTGCCCCCGTCCCATGGCCACCCAAAGTCTGAAGGTGTGATGGGGTGGCCCACAGGCACCGGGGAGGGGAGCGGTCAGGTGGCTGTGACCCTGGATGTGAGAAGTGCACAGTGAGGAGTGCGGGCGGGGGAGGGGAGGGGGACTGGGCGGGCGGCAGGCCTTGCACAGTGTCTTTCTGGGTTCAAAACCCCCTTGGAACCGTCAGACTGGTGTGATCTGTCACCGTGCACATGGGAAACGCTCGCAGCCAAGGACTCAAGTGGGACCGCTGCGAGGGTGACCGCACCCCAGCTGAGGGCTCGGAGGTGCCAGGCACCAGGCGGCGACCGGTTCCGAGCACGCTGTGTGCTCCGCAGGGCCGGGCAGGGCAGGGGGAGGGTCCATCCCCTTCCTACCTGTGCGGCCCTGGGCAAGGCCACAACCCAGCTCCGGGGGAAGAGCACCTCCTGGTTTGCAGAGGGGGTGTGAGGCATTACATCGACTACAGGATGGGGGTGCCCAGCGCCCAGCCCTGCCTCCAGCCGGAGAGAGCACAGGCATCGAGGAGCAATGGCCCTGCCCAGGCATCGAGGGTTCGAGCACATGAGGGGCACGGCCCTGCGTCTGACATGCAGGGGGTGCAGGCCCCCTGCCCGGACCCTCCAGGCTGTCGTCTCAGAAAGAACCAGAGCCCCTGCAGGCCCCAGACGGCCACCCCACCCCGCTGGGCCTCGCTTACCGGCTGGGCGTTGGGTCCCTTTCAGGACAATGGAGGTCATCAGCTTGTGGACGACCTGCATCCCTACGTTCAGGTGTTTCACAAACATGTCACTCACGTGGACGGCCTCCGTCCCGGAGATGGCATCATGGTGCTGGACCTGTGGTCCCCCCCAGATCAGGGAACAGTGGGGTCTGGACCTGCCCCTGCAAAACACTTCTGAACACCTGGCACTACTAGGCCGAGCCACCCTTGGTCTCAGCAGGTGTGGGTGGAGGTAGGGGGCCTCCCACTTTACAGAAGAGGAAAGTGAGGCTCAGGCAGGCTGAGCTTGCCCATCCTTTTCTGACCTTGCGGAAATCCACCACCTGAGACAGACAACAGGCTTTGGGAAGGGGCCCGTCCTGGCTCCCTCCATGACATCACATTCCCACCAGCGCCCCTGGGACACTCCAGGTACACCCACAGCCCTCCGCGCCCAGGCGGGGGCGAAGGACGGATGAGCTGCTGTGCCCATTATTGCTTTAGGTTGCCCCACCGCCCAGCTGGGTGGCCATGTGGTTCTCACTACGTGGAGCAAGTTAGGGCTCAGAGAGGGAATGCCCCGTGCCTGAGGCCACACAGCAGAGCTGAGACTGAATCCAGGCTGGACCTTTGGACACAACGCAGCTGCACCCTGGCCTCCACCCTCGGGTAGCTTCAGGTCTAGCGCTGTCTCAGGCCGCGGGCCTGTGCTGTGACCCCAGTGACCTCATCTGTGATGGGACATTTAGTGGCCAGGGCCAGACCGGGAAGGGCACCGCACAGGAGGCTCCCGTCCCGCTACGGGCGCCGAGAGGTGTGGCTCACCTCGGAGACTGCCCAGCGGAGCTTCTGAAGCTGCCTCAGCGCCCAGCCAGGGTCCGGGCGGCCGCGGGGGGCCGGCCACATGTAGCGCGTGAACATGGACTCGCCGGCGTGGAGCAGAGCGCTGGCCCGCCTCGCCAGCCCCTTCAGCCTGCTGCGGGACGTGTAGAAGCCGGTCCAGGCTTCCGAAGGTGCTGGGAGACAGGGGCCGGCAGTGGATGAGTTCCCTGTCTGGGGGTCCCTAGACCCTAAAGCCCCAAAAGAGCTGGGGCGAGGGGCCGGGTCAGCCCGCGTCACCCAGGAAGGCATCGGGGCAGCACAACCCTGGGCTCCTGCCCCAGCCAGAGCACTGGAGGGGCTGGGCAGGGGGGAGGATGATGCCTGGGGGGGCTGGGCAGGGGGGAGGATGATGCCTGGGGGGGCTGGGGGCTGACGGTCCGGGTGAGGGACACGAACACGCAGAGAGGATCGGGAAAGCCTGGCGCAGCCTCGGAGCAGAGGGCCCGAGAGATTGGGGGAGGGAAGGGTGACCTGGGGGGATGGGCAGGACCCGGCTGAGAAGGGCCATGAGCACCCAGCACCGGCAGCAGCCTCCGTGCGCGAGTCCAGGGACAATGGGGAGTCCCCGCAGGCCAGCATTTCAGGGGGTCTCCCTGGCAGCACGGGGAGAGTGGATGGGAGGAGGGTGGAAGGAGCTTAGACCCCAGTGGCCACTGTCCTGACCGGGACAGAGGAGGAGGCCTGAGCCAGGCAGGTGGAGAGGGAGGGCTCAGAGCCTCCAGGGCCTGGCTCTGTCCCAAAAGGTGCTTCACTGTCCCTGCTGTCCCCACCGCCCGCCTCCTCCGGGGCTGCACTGGGCCCGGCACCAACCCCCTGACAGCCCTTCCGAGTGCCTGGTGCCCTCAGAGCAGAGCCCCGCCTCACCTCACCTGGCCAAGCTCACCTGGGCGCACCCACAGGGCATCACTGTGTCCCCTCCCACCTGGGCAGCCAGAACGACAGAGTACACCCTCCAGCTCAACATGAGCCTGCCCAGTGGGAAGTAGCTCCTCCCACCTAGCCCAGGGTCCCGCCCACCACCACTGTGATCCAAAAGGAAATGTCCGGAGAGCCTGTACAGGGAGCTCCATCTTGTAAACAAACAGGCAAGAGACCTAGACCCCAAGGACAGCGCAGCCTGGAACCAGCCCTGCAGGGGGAGGCGTCCGGCGGTCTCTTTGGAGGCCGGGTAATGGGGAGAAGGGACAGCCTACTGTGGAACCCTCCTATGGGCGCCCCCGTCCTCTTGCAAACCCCCTTCAGTGATGAGGACACGGGGCTCAAAGAGCTGACATCACTTGCCCCAAAGGCAGACAGCCCATGAGGGGAGGAGCTGTGGTCCAAAGCCAGGGGTGCGTCTCAATCAGCTCTGAGGCCAGCCCTGCTCAGCACCGTGGCGGGGGTGAGGGAGGGCAGGGGACAAGCCCTGGCAGGCCTAGCTCCAGGCACATAGTGAACACTCCGGCGGCGGGTGCCCTCTGAGCTTCGGTGCCCTGCGTGTCCCGAGGGGATGACGGTGCAGCTCTCCCTTCCAAAACAACCTCTCCACCTGAACACGCTGTGCGTAGAAGCCGCTGCCAGGCAGAGCCGGCGGGGGGCAAGGAATGCATCCGGCCCCTGAGCTACCCTGCTCCTGTGCCCTGGTCCCCTCCACCCCACCCCCATCACCGCATCCCTCTGACTTCTCCTTCTGTGTGAAAGCAGGGCAAGGACCCTTGAGGGCTCTGATGCTTTATGCAGTTTGGCCCAGCGGTTAGAGCGTCAGCCTGCGGCCCACAGAGACCCGGGTTCGGTTTCCGCTACGGGCGCGTACCTCGGCTGCAGTTTGTCCCCGGGCCTGGTTGGGTTGTGCAGGAGGCAGCCACTTAATGTGTTCCTTTCACGTCGACGTTTCTCTCTCTCTCTCTCCCTCCCACTCTATCTGAACAAAAAATGGAAAAATGTCCTCGGGTGAGGATAAAAAACATATATTAGATGGGTCAAGGTTTGGCCCACACCTTTCCCCAGTTATACCCCCAGGGGGGAGTCGGGAGGGTGTTTCCGACCTGCCCTAGCTCTCGGAGCCATGCTGTGCCTGGTCTGATTCCCACCCGGGGAAGCTGAGGTCTGCAAGGGGCACAGCGGCAGGGGGCTCCACGGGGGGCCAGGGGCAGGCCAGGGAGGGGTACCCCAGCAGGCCCTGAATTAGCCTCCTGGGCAGGACCTGGCACAAAGGACCCGGAATGACGTTATAACTACTCATCGCTACATGTGCTGAGCCTTCGCTCTGTGCTGGACACCAGGCTCTGAAGGTCGTGTGTACAGCTCCCCAGGCTCTGAGCGTCGTGATGATGACGGCTCCACAGGCTCTGAGCGTCGGTGTACAGCTCCCCCATGCCTCTGAGCGTCGTAGTGTACAGCTCCCCAGGCTTCTGAGCGTCGTGTGTACCAGCTCCCCAGGCCTCTGAGCGTCGTGTGTACAGCTCCCCAGGCTCTGAGCCGTGTGGTACATCTCCCAGGCTTAGCCGGGTGTACATCGTCCCAGGCTTCTGAGCGTCGTGTGTACAGCTCCCAGGCTCTGAGCGTCTGTGTCAGTACAGGCTCCCCAGGCTCTGAGCGTCGTCGTGTACAGCTCCCCAGGCTCTGAGCGTCGTGTGTACAGCTCCCCAGGCTCTGAGCGTCGTGTGTACAGCTCCCCAGGCTCTGAGCGTCGTGTGTACAGCTCCCCAGGCTCTGAGCGTCGTGTGTACAGCTCCCCAGGCTCTGAGCGTCGTGTGTACAGCTCCCCAGGCTCTGAGCGTCGTGTGTACAGCTCCCCAGGCTCTGAGCGTCGTGTGTACAGCTCCCCAGGCTCTGAGCGTCGTGTGTACAGCTCCCAGGCTCTGAGCGGCGTGTGTACAGCTCACCGGGCTCTGAGCGTCGTGTGTACAGCTCCCCGGGCTCTGAGCGTCGTGTGTACAGCTCACCAGGCTCTGAGCGTCGTGTGTACAGCCGATAGACTGAGCATCATCACTGTGCCCATGTCCCTGAGGCACGGCAGCTCCGTGACTTGCATGAAGCCATGAAGCGGGCTCATTCCAAGACCATCCCTCCTACCCTTAGGCTGTGCTGTTTGTGGCCAGCAAGGCCCCAGCCTCAAGGACACAGGCACAAAGCAGACAGGGTCCCCGGCTGTGCCCATGGAGTAATGGGAGGAGAGCAGGCCTTCACGTCAGGAAGGGTTCCCGGGGAGACATGACAGAATAAGCAAGGCTCGTGCATAGAGGGCAGACTGCAGGCGAGAAGGCATGGGGGCAGGAACCTGCTGTCCACGGGCCGTGCGGCGGCCAGGCTGTGTGGCAGCCAGGCTGTCTAGGGGGGACAGGTAGGTGGGGACAGGGCCAGTCTCCCGGGCTGGAAGAGCAGGGCAGAGCAGACACCGAGGTGGGCGCCTACCCTAGCACCAGATTGCCACCCTCAAGCCCAGAGGCTGGTACCTGAGGAGTAGGGCAGGAAGTCCCTGTGGTCGCGGACCTGCCAGACGTCACGGTGAGCGTGCACGGCGTTGAAGTACGTGCTCAGGGTGGCGTACTCCACGGTGACGCCGTGCTTGAAGGTCCACATGTTGATGAAGTCCAGCAGACGGTCCATGTTGGTAAACTGCAGCGTCGCATTGGAAAATGTCCTGTCACAGCCCTGGGGGGACACGGGGCGGCGTCCTGTCCTGAGAGCAGAGCTCAGCCCAGGCAGAGTGGGCTTGCCATGAGCTCCCACAAACACCCTCTCGCTCTCCACAGGGGCATCGGAGTCCCCACACCAGCTCCCATAGCTGAACTCCTGTGCGTTTCCTTCTCTCTTGCGTTTTTCTAAACCATGTTGTACATCCCTACACGTGCTTATCTTTGATCTTATAAGAAGTCTGTACCTTTGACTGCCTTCACTCATTCCCACGTCCCCACCCCCACCTGACAGCCACAAAGCTTATCTCCTTTTCTACGATTTCTGTGCTTTTAAATTTTACGTATAAGTGAAATCGTACAGTATTTGTCTTTCTCTGATGTACGTCACCCTCTGGCATTTGTAAAAGCCATTTAGTGTTACTGCTCATCAAAATCATTCATCATAGTCCTATGATCATTATGACTAACAATGATAACAGCCATAACTCACGTTTATTGACCTTAACCTCGCCTTCAAAAAGGCAGTAAAAGTCGAGTTGCTAGAAACATACGAGCTACCAAGACTGAAGATGAGCAACAAGAACATTTGAACAAACATGACCAGCAAGGAGACTGGACCAGTCATCAAAAAGCTCTCAACAAACAAAAGACCCAGGACCAGATGACTTCACAGATTAACGCTATGAAATATTTCAAGAAGAATGAATACCAATCCTTCTAAAACCTTCCCAAAAATAGAAGAGGAGAGAACATTTCCAAACTCATCACGTGGTCAGCTTTATCCTGCTACCAAAAGCAGACAAGGGTGCTACAGGTAAAGAAAAATGCGGATCGACATCCCTGTTGCACATCGATGCCAAAATCCTCCACAAAATATTAGCAAACTGAATTCAGCAATTCGTTAAGAAGATCATACCCCATGAGTAAGTGGGATTTACCCCAGGAATGCAGAGATGGATTAACACCCACAAATCAATCAATGTGACACAGGACACGAACAGAACAAGGGTGAAATCCATGTGGTCAGCTCTGTCGATACAGAAAATGCACTTAACAAAATTCAACATGTATTTATGGTAAAAACTCTGAACAAAGGATATAGAGGGAACATATTTCAACATTATAAAGGCCATATATGACCAGCCCACAGCTGACATCAAAGTCAGTGGGGACAGCTTGTCTCCTAAGATCAGGAGCAAGACAAGAGTGCGCACTCTCATCACTTTTGTTTGTTTGTTTGTTTGTTTGTTTGTTTGTTTGTTTGTTTGTTTAAATCCTCACCTGAGGATATTTTTCCATTTATCTTCAGATAGAATGGGAGGGAGAGGAAGAGAGAGAGAGAGAGAGAGATGTGAGAGGGACACATCGACTGGCTGTCTCCCGCACAACCCCGGCCAGGGCTGGGGACCAAACTGCAACTGAGGTACATGCTCTTAACCAGAATCGAACCTGAGACTCTTTGGTCCATGGGCCAATGCTGTAACTGCTGAGCCAAACCGGCCAGGGCAAAAAACAAACTTAATCCAGTTTACAGTTGCTTCAAAAAGAATAAAATTCCTAGGAATAAATTTAACCAAGGAACTGAAAGACCTGTACATTGAAACTACACAACACTGATGAAAGAAATTAAAGAAGATATAAATACATGGATTGGTAGAATCAATATTGTTAAAATGTCCATACTACCCAAAGCAATGTATAGATTTAATGCAATCCATATCAAAATTCAAATGGCATTTTTCACAGAAATAAAACAAACAACCCTAAAATCTGTGTGGAACCCCAAATGACCCCAAATAGCCAAAGCAACTTGAGAAAGGAGAACAAAGCTGACACATCAAGCTTATTTCAAATTATATTACAAAGCTACAGTAATCCAAAGAGTAGAGTATTAGCATAAAAACAGACACACTGATCAATGAAACAGAACAGAGAGCCCAGAAACAATCCCATACATATATGTTCAATTAATTTATGACAGATTAGCCAAGAATATACCATGGGAAAAGACAGTCTTTTCAATGATCAATGTTTAAAAAACTGGACACCCATGCAAATAATGAAATTCGATCATTACTTTGCACCACTCACAAATATTAACTCAGAGTGGATTAAAGACTTACATATAAGACCAAAAACATAAGGCTCCTAAAAGAAAACATAGGTGATAAGCTCTTTGACATAGTGTTGGTGGTGATCTCTTGGCTTTAAACCCAAAGCGAACACAACAAAAGCAAAAATAAACACGAGAGGCTCAGCAAACTCAAAGCTTCTGCACAGCAGAGGAGCCGTCAGCAAGACGAAAGGCACCCTGGGAAGGGGAGAAAACATCTGCAAATCACACGTTTGAGAAGGAGCTAATATCCAAAATATATAAAGAAATTATCAAAACAAATAGCAAAAACAAAATTTTTTTCAATTTAAAAATGGGCAAAGAATTTGAGTAGACATCTTTCCAAAAAGGATACACAGATGGCCAACAAGCATATGAAAAGGGGCTCAACATCATTAGTCATCAGAGAGATGAAGTCAAAACCACAATGAGATATCACTTTACACCTGTCAGAATGGCTGTCATCAGAAAGACACGAGAAAAGTGTCGGTGAGGATGCGGAGAAAAGGGAACCCTTGTGCACTGTTGGTGGAAATACAAGTTGGTGCAACCACTATGGAAAATAGTATGAAGGTTCCGGAAAAATTGAAAATAGAATTACCATATGGTCCAGCAATTCCACTTCTGGGTAGTTCATCAAAGAAAACAAAACACTAATTCTGTAAGTTCTATACACCCATATTTGTAGCAGCATTATTTACAACAGCCAAGATATGGAAGCACCTAAGTGTCCATTGATAGGTTAATGAATAAGCAAAAGTGGCACGCGCGCGCGCACACACACACACACACGCACGCACACAATGGAACATATTCTGCCTTAAGAGAAAATCTTACCGCCCTGGCCAGTTTGGCTCAGCGGTTAGGGCGTTGGCCTGCGGTCTGGAGAGACCCGGGTTCGGTTCCCGCTAAGGGCACATACTTCGGTTGCAGTTTGTCCCCGGCCCTGGTTGGTCGTGCGGGTGGCAGCCACTCGATGTGTCCCTTTCACATCGATGTTTCTCTCTCTCTCTCCCTTCCTCTCTCTCCCTCCCACTCTATCTGTACAAAAAATGGAAAAATGTCCTCGGGTGAGGATAAAAAAAAAAAAGAGAGAGAAAATCTTGCCATTTGTGACAGCATGGATGGACCACACTTATGAAACTTTTAAAAAGAACTCTGATACCGAGAACAGATTGCTGGTCACCAGAGCTGGGGGACGGAGGGTGGGGAAAATGGATGAAGGGGTCAAAAGGTAGAAACTTCCAGTTATAAAATAAGTCCTGGGGATGTAATGTATAGCATGGAGACTATAATTAACAAGACTGTGTTGTATATTTGAAATGTGCTGCCCTGGCCGGTTTAGCTTACCAGTTAGAGCATCAACTCACCAACCCAAAGGGTCATGGGTTTGATTCAGGTCGGGGTCACGCAGGAGGTAACCAGTCAATGTATCTCTCTCACATCGATGTTTCTCTCTCTCTCTCCCTCCCTCCCTTCCACTCTATCTAAAAATCAATAGGAAACTACTCTCAGATCAGGATCAACAACAACAACAACAAGGAAAGCACTTTGTACATCTGTGCGGTGATGGGTGTTCACCAGACGAACTGCGGCAGTCATTCTGCAGTATGTACAAATATCGAATCATTATGTTGCACCTGAAACTGATGCAATGCTATATGTCAATTACATCCTTTTTTAAAAAAAAGAGAGAGAGCTACAACCTGGCCAGTGTGGCTCAGTGGTTGAGCATCGACCCATGACCAACAGGTCACTGGTTTGATTCCTGGTCAGGGCACATGCCCGGGTTGTGGGCTCGATCCCCAGCAGGGAGCATGCAGGAGGCGGCCAACCAATGTTTCTCTCTCATCAATGGTTTGTTGTTTTTTTTATCCTCACCTAAGGACATTTTTCCATTTTGTTGTTCAGATAGAGTAGAAGGGAGAGAAAGAGAGAGAAACATTGATGTGAAAGGGACACACTGAGTGGCTGCCACCCGCACAACCCAACCAGGGCCAGGGACAAACTGCAACCGAGGTACATGCCCTTAGCGGGAACCGAACCCAGGTCTCTTGGGACTGCAGACCAACGCTCTAACCGCTGAGCCAAACCGGCCAGGGCTCTCTCATCAATGTTTCTCTCTCTCCCTCTCCCTTTCTCTCTAAAATCAATAAAAACATTTTTTAAAAAGTACTGCAATATAGCCCTGGCTGGTTTGGCTCAGTGGTTGAGCGTCAGCCTGCGGACCAGAGAGTCCCGGGTTCAGTTCCCACTAGGGGCATGTACCACCAAAAAAAAAAAAAAACAAGTGCTGCAGTATAAAAAATTCTCTCCACATAGTCACAGTTATTCTACCTCATCCTGGTTGAAATGTTGCTACATTGAGTACTACATAAAATAGTTACAGTGAGAGTACAGGGCCCAGAGGAAGCAAAGTCTCCGGTTTTGACAGATAAAACGGTGAGTCCCAATGGAGCTGTTCTTGTGCACTGCATGTGTTTCTCCTAAGTTGGCCCCAACCGAATGCCCCTCTCCAGTCGTCCACACTGCACGCCAGCAATTCCTGGTTCTCGGTTTTGCAGAGTTCTCTCTCCGGCTCTCATGGGCAAAATGAGCCAAGGACAAGGGAAGTTCTCGTCAGGTGTTGACAGGTGATCCCAGCAAAATTACAAGTTGCCAGTATGATAAGATCAGAACTTATCAGCTCTCAGCCGAGCCGAAGATGTGAATACATAAGATCTATCATCATCGTCTTTCTTATCAACTGTTATGAACTTACAGCAAAAAGTAAGGCAGATGGCACCACAGACAACCTGAGTTCCCTGTCCCAGCGGGACAGATCCCTGAGCACAGCGCCAAAGCAGCCCCGGAGCAACGGTCGCGTTGCAAGTCCAGGCTCTGAGGCAGGAGGAGGAGAGTTCCGGGTGCGCTGTCAGCCAGCCCTCAAAGGGGGCGCCAGCCTCACAGGTGCTCCAGGACTGCTCTTTGACAGTTCTCATCATCTACCCAAAAGGGGGAGGTCACAAAGTGATATGTATACGGTTTTGTGACCTCAACACAAGTTCTTTTAGGCAGGTGTTTCTGTGTTCCTTTGGCAGGCATCACATTCCATTCTGAACTATTGAGAAAGTAAGCATTTCATTATTGTGTTTCTTTATCGCCTACATATATTTTAAGTTATGCCTCAAGCCTCATTTAAAGTGTATGTGTGTGGCCCTCGCCGGTTTTGCTCAGTGGTTAGAGCGTCGGCCTGTGGTCCAGAGAGACCCGGGTTCGGTTCCCGCCAAGGGGCGCGTACCTCAGTTGCAGTTTGTCCCCGGCCCTGGTCGGCCGTGCGGGTGGCAGCCACTCGATGTGTCCCTTTCACATCGATGTTTCTCTCTCTCTCTCTCTCTCTCTCTCTCTCTCTCTCTCTCTCTCTCTCCTTCTCCCTCCCACTCTACCTGAACAAAGAATGGAAAAATGTCCTCGGGTGAGGATAAAAAAAATAATAATAAAAAAATAAAGTGTGGCCCTGGCCTGTTTGGCTCAGCGGTTAGAGCATCGGCCTGCGGTCCGGAGAGACCCGGGTTCGGTTCCCGCTAAGGGCACGTACCTCGGTTGCAGTTTGTCCCCGGCCCTGGTTGGTCGTGCGGGTGGCAGCCACTCGATGTGTCCCTTTCACATCGATGTTTCTCTCTCTCTCTCTCTTCCTCTCTCTCCCTACTCTATCTGTGCAAAAGATGGAAAAATGTCCTCGGATGAGGATAAAAAAAATAAATAAATAAAATAAAAAAATAAAGAGTGTGTGTGTATCACATATTTAGATTAATTGTGTTATACAACTGGCCTATTGACATCATGTATGGAGTTTTATAGTTCTCAAAAAATAGTTTTATTAATGTCTGCACCTATAGATAAAAGTAATCACAGATAAAAAGGGGGGAGGCATGAAAAGAATAAAAGAAAGGCAGTCACGAGTGAAAGGGGGGAGAGCTGGCGGACGCCCGAGGCTCGTGGGTGAGGCTGGGAGTGAGCCGGGGGCGGGAGGAGCTGGTGGGGCGGGTGAGGCCCAGGGGTTCCCAGAGAAGGACTGACCCAGCTGAGGATGGCAGCCTGGCCCGGTTAGAGCAGGACTCGAGCCCCAAGGGGTCCAGTCTCTGGGCTGTGATGCGGACACCAGGGCTGGGACACCACTCACCCAAGGCCAGAGGACATGTGGGGTCCGGAACCAGGTGGCCCGCAGCTTCATGTCCTTCACCAGGACCTGCATGTGATTTTTGAGGTCGAAGTAAAACTCACGGTCTTCAGGATCGAACCCATTCTGGATTAATTCTGCGGAGAAAAGCGAATCTTCCCAAGTAACAGGCCCATGCCTGCAGGAGAGAGAAGGGTTAGAGGGCCCGGGCCAGGAGGGGAAGCGGCCCGGGGTCCTGGAGGATGGGCAGGGCTCAGCCAGACCCCGGGGCAGCTCCGGGCCTGCAGACCCTCCTGGAGCCCCGTCTCCCACCAATCCAGGCCCCACATCCAGCAGCCGACCCCCCATGGGGTCCCGGGCACGCCACTCCCAGGGCCCACGTCGATGCTGCTGTCCCACGGGGAGCCCAACAGCCGGGTCCCACTTCACACGTGGATCCCAGAGGACTCATCAGACCACTCACTTCATCCTTCAGGACACCTCTGTGCCCATCAGAACAGGGTGCAAGGACCCTGGGCAGGGCTGGGACTCGGGTGGGGCAGATGAGGCACCCACCTCACACGAGTCTCAATGCCAACACCAATGAGTGTAATGCAGTGTTTTAGAAAACAATGAAACTCCATACATGATACCAATAGGCCAACTGTATGACACAATTAATCTAAATATATGTAATATTTTCTCTCTATATAAGTTAATGCGGAACGAACTGTGATAGACAACCCCTCAGGGTGGTCCACAGCCCTGGGGCTCTCCCTGCGGTCCTGCTCCAGCAGGGCCTGGCGCCACCTCTGGGCTCGGGGCCGCCCCACTCAGGGTCGCCCTGCCTCACCCGGGGCAGCAGAGGGCGACGAGCGGCATCCTGGGCCAGCCCCAGGAACCGCCCCTGGAGCCTCTCTGGCCGTCTCCTTGCTGATGCCATGTACGAAGGCTGTTAGAGGGTTACCAACAACAACTGATGGGAAACAGTGGCGACTGTGCCTGGCACAGAGGCACAGAGCGGGCCTGACCCGAGGCAGCGCCCGGCAGGGAGCCCGCCGGAGGTTTTCTCCCCAGTGGCCCCTGTCCGAGGAGGGGCCACCACCCTGTCCCCGGCCGCACAGGTGCCAAGGGGCTGGCTCTCCGAGGCCTGGGAGCTGGCCACCTGAGCCAGACGCCGCTCTGCCACATTGCCTGACCGCACGGACCTCGGCTGGGCGGTGAGGCCTCGGTTTCTGTGCGTCTCCCTGGGGCGTGCAGGGAGGGTCACAGCTGAGGTCACACAGGGACAGTGCTCAGAGCGGGGCCCGGCCACAGCAACGCTCACGTGCAGTAGCTGAACTTGTCCATGACATGCGTGAAGATTTCCTGCCGCTTGGCTAGGGACGGGGACCCTCGCCACACGAACTGCAGCTCCTGCAAACCCGGAGGGACAGAGTGAGGGCCCAGAGCAGCCCAGCTGCTGGTTCCACCTCCTGCGGCCCTCACCTTGGGGCTCCCTCGGGGTCATGGACAGAGCTCTCCTGCTGCCTCCTCCTACAGCTCCCATCTGGACCCCCAAAGCCACGCGAGGCTGTGGACTTGTCCTCCCAAACAGCCTGCCTGCTCATTTACCCCACCTCCTCCTCGGGGCACCTTTGAGACAAGCTTGAATGCCCCCAGGCACAGGGAGCTCATCACCTCTCACTAAGTGAGCTGCCCATGTTTTACAGTTCAGACGGACAGTGTTCAGGGTTACAAGCAAAGATAAAATCCTGATTTTGTTAGCGTCATCTCTGGGACCCACATGTTCCTTGACTCCTCCCCTGTGACTTGATCTAGGCCAGGGAAGGAGGGCAGAGCCACACCTGGGTCAGTCACCTACAGCGGAGAGGGGCTGACCCAGGAAGTGGGCTGTGTTCAGGGTGACCCTTAGTGGGGTTACAGAAGCGTTACTTCCCTTGCCCCCTGGAGTCCAATCCCCTTTGCCTGCCTCCCGCTGGATAAGTTGCCTCTGTTCTCCTCACCCGGACCCCAGGCTGCTTCCTTCCCTTCCTGGAGGGGGCCCTGAACCTGTACAGGACACCAACTGTAGGACAGGGAGCCAAGAGGGAGGGTGGGACCAAAGGGGCAGCGGCGGACGCACCCGGCACTCACCTGAGCCTTCTGCATGGCCTCCTTCAGGTCATAGTCGATCCGAGAGATGACGTGGGCGTTGAACCCCGCCAGGGCAAACAGGGTGGGCGTGGTGGCCGAAGCGCCAAAGGGGTCAACCTGCCAGGAGAACCTCGGCCGGACCCCGAACGTCTCATAGAGGAAGCCGTGCCCTTCTGCAAAGAGGACGCCATGCTGCTGGGGACGGGGTGGGCGCCCTGTTCCTTTCTGCAAAGAGGACGCCATGCTGCTGGGACGGGGTGGGCGCCCTGTGCCCTCTGCAAAGAGGACGCCATGCAGCTGGGGACGGGGTGGGCGCCCTGTGCCCTCTGCAAAGAGGACGCCATGCTGCTGGGGACGGGGTGGGCGCCCTGTTCCTTTCTGCAAAGAGGACGCCATGCTGCTGGGACGGGGTGGGTGCCCTGTGCCCTCTGCAAAGAGGACGCCATGCAGCTGGGGACGGGGTGGGGCGCCCTGTTGCCCTCTGCAAGAGGACGCCATGCTGCTGGGACGGGGTGGACGCCCTGTGCCCTCTGCAAAGAGGACGCCATGCTGCTGGGGACGGGGTGGGCGCCCTGTGCCCTCTGCAAAGAGGACGCCATGCTGCTGGGGACGGGGTGGGCGCCCTGTGCCCTCTGCAAAGAGGACGCCATGCTGCTGGGACGGGGTGGACGCCCTGTGCCCTCTGCAAAGAGGACACCATGCTGCTGGGGACAGGGTGGGCGCCCTGTGCCCTCTGCAAAGAGGACGCCATGCTGCTGGGGACAGGGTGGGTGCCCTGTTCCCTCTGCAAAGAGGACGCCACGCTGCTGGGACAGGGTGGGCGCCCTGTGCCCGGGGCAAGCAGGGGCCGCGCCACAGAGGACTCACAAAGGCTCCGCCCCAGACCATCCCACCACTCCTGCGCATTCGTGACTTAGGCGTCGCCACCAGGAGACTGGGTGGTTTGGAAAATGGAGCCTCATGGATTCCACTGGGGAGAAGGAGCCCTTCCTGCCCACAGTCAGTGCAACCCCAGGGCTCGGAGGCTTCTGGGCAGCATGCTGTAGGTCTGGCCTGCAGGGTTAGCCCCGGGCGCTCAGGGCGAGGGCACGGTGGGCTGAGACCGGAGGCCAGGGGGTTCCCGCCGCAGGCAGCCCTGCGGCAGGCCAGTCAGCCACCCCCCAAGCCATGCCCATCAGCACCTGACCAGCCAGACCCTCAGCGGAGCCCGGGGTCCCAGAGATGAACCAGGCGCCGCTGACAGAGGCCGCTTAGACTTTCGGGGTGAAGGAGGGAGGTGGGGAGGAACTCTGGAGACCCAAAGAGAAGGGACCCCTCCCGAGTCTGAGAGGAGCTGCTCTGGAGGAAACCGAGAAAACGTTACGTGGGGAAACGCGGGGAGCCGTGCAGCGGGGCAGATGAAGGGCAGCAGGGGCAGAGGAGGAGCGGAGCAGGGGGAGAGGCCCTGAGCCACAGCAAGGGGACGGAGTGTTACACAGAGAGAACGAAAGCAGTCACCATCCCGTCCCCATGCCCTCGCTATGGCGACAGAACGGAAAGCCCAGCACAGCTTTCGCTGGGAACCAGGTTCCTGGCCCCACCCTCGGGCTTGGCTGGTGGCTTTGGGCAGGAGCCTCGCCTCCTTCAGGGCCACATGGGCTAGAGGACCCTCCCAGGGAGTGGGCATGGGCCAGGGGCACAGGACAGGCCCCTGGCTCACAGTAGGCTCTATGTACGGAAGTCGTCTTGAACAAAGAGGACTGTGAGCGTCTGAGAAGAAAAGGTTTTGTCAGCAACACCACCTTCTACTTGGAGGTGGCAAAGGGGTTGAGTGAAGTCTGGAAATGAGGCAGCGAGACCCTGAGATAAGGGAAGGGCTCCAGATTAAGGAGCAAAAGGGAGACAGTGCTGAACATTGACTGGCCGCCTCCTGCACGCCCCGCACTGGGGATAGGGCCCACACCCTGGGCATGTGCCCTGACCGGGAATCGAACTGGCGACCTCTTGGTACAGGGTTGATGCTCAACCACTGAGCCACACCAGCTAGGCAGGACTGAGAGTTTCAGTAACAGGCCTGGATTTGTTCTGGTTCATCCACTGTCTAGTGGTAGATGGTGATGATAAGGTGGAGATGGGGACGAAGGTAAGGCGGAGACGGGGACGATGGTAAGGCGGAGACGGGGACGAAGGTAAGGCGGAGACGGGGACGAAGGTAAGGTGGAGACGGGGACGAAGGTAAGGCGGAGACGGGGACGATGGTAAGGCGGAGACGGGGACGAAGGTAAGGCGGAGACGGGGATGAAGGTAAGGTGGAGACGGGGACGAAGGTAAGGCGGAGACGGGGACGAAGGTAAGGTGGAGACGGGGATGAAGGTAAGGTGGAGACGGGGATGATGGTAAGGCGGAGACGGGGACGAAGGTAAGGCGGAGACGGGGACGAAGGTAAGGTGGAGACGGGGACGAAGGTAAGGCGGAGACGGGGACGAAGGTAAGGTGGAGACGGGGACGAAGGTAAGGTGGAGACGGGGACGATGGTAAGGCGGAGATGGGGACGAAGGTAAGGCGGAGACGGGGACGAAGGTAAGGTGGAGACGGGGATGAAGGTAAGGCGGAGACGGGGACGATGGTAAGGCGGAGACGGGGACGAAGGTTAAGGCGGAGACGGGGGACGAAGGTCAGGCGGAGACGGGGACGAAGGTAAGGCGGAGACGGGGATGAAGGTAAGGTGGAGACGGGGATGAAGGTAAGGTGGAGACGGGGACGAAGGTAAGGTGGAGACGGGGATGAAGGTAAGGTGGAGACGGGGATGAAGGAGGAGGTGGAGACGGGGATGAAGGTAAGGTGGAGACGGGGATGAAGGAGGAGGTGGAGACGGGGACGAAGGTAAGGCGGAGACGGGGATGAAGGTAAGGTGGAGACGGGGATGAAGGTAAGGTGGAGACGGGGACGATGGTAAGGCGGAGACGGGGACGAAGGTAAGGTGGAGACGGGGATGAAGGAGGAGGTGGAGACGGGGACGAAGGTAAGGCGGAGACGGGGATGAAGGAGGAGGTGGAGACGGGGATGAAGGAGGAGGTGGAGACGGGGATGAAGGTAAGGTGGAGACGGGGATGAAGGTAAGGTGGAGACGGGGATGAAGGAGGAGCTGGAGACGGGGATGAAGGTAAGGTGGAGACGGGGATGAAGGTAAGGTGGAGACGGGGATGATGGTAAGGTGGAGACGGGGATGATGGTAAGGTGGAGACGGGGATGAAGGTAAGGTGGAGACGGGGATGAAGGTAAGGTGGAGACGGGGATGATGGTAAGGTGGAGACGGGGATGAAGGTAAGGTGGAGACGGGGATGAAGGTAAGGTGGAGACGGGGATGAAGGAGGAGGTGGAGACGGGGATGAAGGTAAGGTGGAGACGGGGATGAAGGTAAGGTGGAGACGGGGACGAAGGTAAGGTGGAGACGGGGATGATGGTAAGGTGGAGACGGGGATGATGGTAAGGTGGAGACGGGGACGAAGGTAAGGTGGAGACGGGGACGAAGGTAAGGTGGAGACGGGGATGAAGGTAAGGTGGAGACGGGGACGAAGGTAAGGTGGAGACGGGGATGAAGGAGGAGGTGGTGGTCATTGCGGTGGTCGTGAAGGTGGTGGTGCTGGTGGTAGAAGTGGAGGTTGTGAAAGTGATGGTAGTGGTTGTAATGGTGATGATAATGGTGGTGATGGTGGTGAGGTGGTGATATTGCTAATGGTGATGGTGGTGGTGGTGGTGGTGATGGTGATGGTGATAGCGTTGGTGGTGCAGATAGCTCTGTGGGTGAAGTTGTAGGTAGAGTTTGTGGTGATGGTGATGACGGTGATAATGGTGATGGTGGTAGTGGTGGTATTGCTGGTGATGAGGTGGTGATGTTGGTCATGGTGGTGGTGGTGGTGATGGTGGTGGTGGTGCAGATAGCTGTGCTGGCAAAGTTGTAGGTAGAGTTGGTGGTGGTGGTGATGATGATGGTGATGGTGATAATGGTGATGGTGGTGGTAATGGTGGTGGTGATGACAGCTATGTTGGTGGAATTGTAGGTGGAGCTGGTGGTGACGGTGGGGTCTTGATGATGGCAATGATAGCACCTAATCTTTAATGAGTGTTTACTAGGGAACATCGTACTTTACTGAAGTGATCTGTTTGAATTATTACAATTTATTTCTCACACGAACCTTTAAGGTAGGCATCATCAAACTCATCTTAATGAGGAAGACACTGAGACACAATGAGGTGACATCCCTTGTGCCTCACTGGGAATTAGAGCGGGAACGAGCAGAGCCAGAATCCAGCCAGGCCACCTCATCCAGAGTGCACGCTCGTAACCCCCACATCAGTAGCACAGGCACGGATACGGCCCTAGCCAATCACTCCCTGCACTGGTCACAGTCTCTTGCTCCGAGGGGAAGATGAAGCCCAGACTAGATTTCAACATAATGTCCCAGTCCGAATGGAGGCCCCAAAGGGACCCTGGTTATGGTAAATGGTGACCAAACCTGTGAGCTGTAGGATCTGGTCATCAAAGTGGGTCACAGCCTCATCGTGCATGACCTGGCCTCCGATGACAAACTCCAGGCGTCCGCTGGCCACAAGCCTATGAACCTTGGCACCATGGACAGAGAGAAAGGCCAGGTCACAACCCCAGAGCGTGGGGCTGCTCTGCGGGAGACACGCCGCCCTTGCCCTCCGCGCCTCCGCTCACCCTGCGGAGCCTCCCTGACAGCCGTGTCCCCCCAGAGCAGCACCTGGCCCCTGGCTGCTTCTCGCTACATCGTTTTGTGAATTTTCACTCTCAAAAGAATTTCGAACTCAGAGAAAATGTGCAAGAATTGTGCAAAGAGCTCCGGGTACCCCGGAGTGTCCGTGGCTAACGTTTCTACCCAGTTTCCTTGACCCCCCCACCCCGGTCCACGCAGAGCGAGCTTTTCCCTGAACCCGCTGAGAGTATAGCTGCCAAGTGTACGCCTTTTATCCTCGGTACTTTACTTGGCGTTTGGTAAGACAAGGATAATTTTAATCACAAAAGAATTGTCAAAATCAGGACATTTAACATAAGACAACACTATTCTCTAATCCACAGACTTCAACCGCATTTTGCCAAAAGCCCTACAAACAGCCTTTTTTAGTGCAGGCCTCAGCCCGGGGCACACACTGCTCGGTCATTTCTCTGTGATCTTTCATCTGGAACAGCCCGGGCCCCTGGCGCGTCCTGCCCAGTCTCCCCGGGACCCCGTGGCCGCTCGCTCCCCAAGGGCAGTGTCACCTGATTCTTCTGCTTCCCTGAGGCGTAGTAGTCCCACCACAGCCGGAAGTACTCCTGCTCCACGGAGATGAACCGCCGGTGCCGGCTGAGCGTCAGCTCCTGCACCACCGTGGCGTACACGTCCTTGACGTAGAGATGCATGTTCTCCTGGGGAGGGGCGGGAGGGGGAAAACCCAGGGTGGCAAAATGTCCCTGGGCCTGCCTCCCGCAGTGACGGCTGCACAGGGCTCTTCCCCCGCCTCCCCACCGCTCATCAAAGGACCCACCCAGCTGTCAACGGAGAAAGGACATGGCTCTCCAGCTTTGCTGAGACCGTGCCACCCTGGGCCGAGTGGCGAGGAAGCAGACCATGACACCACACGGCAGTGTCCCAGAGGAGCACACCGGCTGTCCCTGAGCGTACGGTTATGAACACCCGTCAAGAGCCAGGAGGAGGAAACAGGTCCCAGGGACCCCCTCAGGGGCCTGCTGGGCTGAAATGAAGGGGAGGGGTGTTGAGAGCTGAAGCTGAGAGGAGCTGTCCCTGGGTTGTCCCTGTGGTCACCTGCCTGTCTCCCCCCAGCCCAGGGGCTCTTCCCGTCTCCGGGTGCACAGTGTGCCCAAGGCTGCTCCGGGCAGGGAGTCAGCAGGCTCTGGGGTTACTCCTGAGTGACCTTGGGCAAGGCACGGACCCTCTCTGGCCCTCAGTTTCCTCTTCTGTAAAAGGGGGTGACGAGCATGCACCCCACCCCTTAAGCCATCTCCATTGCAGGTGAGTCGTCCCCCCAGAGGCTCCCAATATGCCCAGGCCCAGACTTAACACTCAGCATCAAATCTTCCTGCCTCTATCTCTCCCTTTAAAACTAGCTACTCCCTCATTAGTGTCCTTTGCAAATGTATCGATCCATAACCACAGAGGGTCTTTGTTCATTTATGTCGGCATTTTCTCTCTCATTCCTAAAAAGAGTTGGAGGCAGCCTGGGTTATGATATCAAACCGCATGCCCCCGAAACCTAAGGAAACCAGAGGCTCTCACCCTTTCTCCTTTCGTACCAGTTCATGCATCACTTCAACAAGCATTATGGAGTGTCTACGCAGCCCACCAGGCACAGTGAGCACGTGGGGAACGGATGCGGAAGCCCCGCCCCCACTGTGCAGCCTCCTCCCCAGGGGGCAGACAGGCCCTCAGCAAGGCAGCGGTGAAACTGGGGAAGGGAAGGAGGGAGGGAATGGACCTGGGTTGGATTGCCTGCTCACCAAGACAATGACTTTGGAGGAACCTGACGGAAGCTACAGACGAGTCTGCCAACCTCTGGGAGGAAAGGCTTTGGGCAGAGGGAAAACCAGGGCACAGACTTGCGCCCTGGAAAACCAGAGGGGGAAATTGGAGCCCAGACAGCACCCCCCAGACAAGGACTGACCACGGCCTGACTCGGGCCGATGCACACTTCATCTGACCGCACTGCCTGCCATTCTCCCTGTCCCTGTGGGGAGACGGAATCAGAGGCAGGAAGTGACCAGCTCAAGGTCAGCTGCCCAGTTGCTCATGCCAGAGGCAAACTGGAGCTCAGGCTGGTCCTTCCACACTGGTACAGACCCGAGAGAAACCCACACTGGGACCCAGCAAGGAGGAGGAGGCAGCTCCAGGGGGCGGATGGAGAAGGACGCGCGGCACCTACCTTGATGGTGTAGAGCCAGCCCACGTCCATGTGGCTGTGGGGCACCACGAAGACCCTAATGGGGCCTCTGGGCCAGGTGCCCGGCGGCAGCAGCAGCACCAGGTGCGTGAACAGGGGCAGCCAGCAGAGCGGCCCCATCCCAGTGCCTGGTGGGCAGCAGCTGGTGCAGGCACTTCTAGTCTGCAGCGGGGAGGCCACTGGGCAGCAGACTGGCAGCTGCCCATGGAGGAGGGAGGGGACCAGCGGCATGGCGCCCCAGGCCAGGTGTCACCTGAGCCATGCAGGAGGTGGTGCTTGCTCAATGACTTCCGATGATCCTGCCCCCATTTCCAGTGTTAAGGCCTGTGCTGCCCACCTTCTTTTCATTTTGAGAGAGAGAGAGAAGCATCAATGTGTGACGGAAACATGGATCACTGGCCTCCCGTACGTGCCCAGACCAGGATCAAACCCGCAACCTGACTGGGAACTGAACCCCACCTTTGGTGTACAGGACGATGCTCCATCTGAGCCACACTGGCCAGGGTCATTGCTGTCCACCTTTAAGCCAAATCCCAAATACTACCCCGCCCCCGGCAGCCTGCCAGGTATCTCTCCAGCCAAGGAATGCCCCTCTACACCCCAACTCCCACCCCCTCGCTTGTGCCTGTCTGAATGTTCTCTTTTGGCATCCCTACTCTCTGGACTGCGCTCCTGGACTCGGAGTCTGCCCTGCAAAACTCAACTCCATACTCAGCTTGGGAAGTGCCACCACCAGGAAGCCTGCCCTGATAACCTCTCCCTCAAAGGGATCCCAATCCAGGCCATGTGACAGGAATTGATATCTCCACTTTAAGGAGGAAAACTGGTCTTCAGAGAGACTTGCCCAAGATCACACAGCTAGGGGAGGAGCAAGACTGTCCAAAACACGCAGCGCCAGGGCTGGGTCTCAGGGATGGCCACCCCGGCAAGACGCTCAACCTCTCCGACTCTCAGCTGCACATCCCAAAAAGGAGGTGGCCGTAGAGGAGCTATGTATTCAATGAGACAAACACCAAGGTGGTAGCTTCAGTGTGCCCAGCCCACCCTGGAGGACTGGTACCGTCCCATTAGTGCAGCCTGCAGGGGCAGAGTGACAACTGGAGCCACCTCTGTGCCCCTCAGGAGCAGAGGACTGAGTCTGGGGTGGGCTGCCTGAGAGTCAAGCAGCCGGGCCTCTGGCTGGAGCTCTCCAGCGTGGTCATCTACAAGCAAGTCAGGCCCTCTCTGCCCCCTTCCTGCTGGAGGTCAACCCTCATCTGAAGCCGACAGGCAAGTGTCCCCACCACCTGTGTCCTCGTGGCCTTCCAGGACACAGCCGCCCTCACTCACGGCGGCCATGTGGCTGACTTCAGCCCACGGATGTGGGGCAGTGCTCCCTTCCGGGCTGGCTGGGAACACAAAGCCTCCTCTCTCCATCACCCGCTGCCTGACAGAGGGCACTCTGAGGACCTCCAGAGCTCAGAGCCACTGATGGGGGCCTCTGAGGACCCATGGGACCACAAGGGTGTCAACAGACTGGGACATGAGAAACCAACAACTTGCATGATGTTAAGCCACTGAGTTTATCTGAGAAGCATGTCCTGTTCTATTTCCCGAGATGGCCACACACGACCCTCATCCCGAGAGCATGTCCCAGGCCACAACACTGACATCCCTCCCACAGATCTGTGTCTTCTCCCGTTGAAGCTGGTGGGCTGTGTCGCACTTGTAACCACCAGAATGTGGCAAGACGGCCCTGCTTGGTAAGGGGGTGTCCTCGTGCCCTCCAAGGAACACTGTCAACGGGGCTCTCCGGCCTCACGTCCACCCTCACTTCTCTGGACCTTCTGATGCTCTTCCTCCCTCTGCCATGGTCCTTCTGGCATCTCTTCTTCACTTGGTGCAGCCAACGCTCTCCCCACCCTCAAGGGCCACCCATGCTGCGCGTTGGCACCGGCCTGGCGTCGAGTCCTTTGTGGCGGGGCCTTAGTGTGCCGCGGCTGCTGCAGGGCATCCCACGGACAGGGGGCTTCACCTAGAGCCGTGCATTTTCTCGGTGTGGAGGCCAGAAGCATGGTAACCACAGGCTCGGTGCCCTCTCCAGGACTGGCCCTTCCCTGTGGGGCCGGGCTACAGCATAGGAACAGCACCCCCTAGGGACAGGCTCTGGGTTCTGGGACTGGGGTCCGAGTGGCCGAGTGGCCAGAAGGAAGGCCAGTGGCCACTGTGTTCTGCCCACTCCAGGATCAGACGCTCCCCCAGCGCTGTCAGGTGCGGTGCTGGCGCGTCCCACAGAGCAGGGTCACCCTCCAGTCGGGTGCGGGTGACCGCTGTGGACCGGGCACGGCTGCAGGGGAAGAGTGTGAAGCACGAGCTGTTCTGGGTGACCTCACACAAGGAACAGCCTGGCCGTCCCTGGGGTGTGCGTGGGAGTCTGCGAGATGGGCACACGCACCATTTCTCCCGAGCCCGCGTGCCGTCAGCATCCTTTCAGGGCGGGTGGGAAGGCCTGGGGCTCAGCTGCCAGGCGGGCAAATCGCCCGGGGCTGCACCATGCCCAGGCCCACGCGGACGAGCAGCGCGGACCCCAGCCGCTCCTGCCCCGACCGGCCATGGCGCCCGGTGTCCACCCTCCGGAAGCCTGGTCCTCAGCTGCGTTTCAGACCTTCGGGGTTAGCCCCGGATCCGGGACTTGCAGAAAACAAGTTTCTGTAGCTTAGGCCGCCCCGTCGAGGCAGTGGCGCAGCCCGTGTCTGAGGCTGCAGAGTGGCCGAGCAGCTGTGGGAATCATTTGTGCAGACAGACAAACGCCCAGCTTACAGCAACTGTTCGATCGGAACCGTGCTCAGCGGCCAAGGCCATGTTGTCCGCACCTTCTATCTGTACATTTCTTTTCCTTTTTGTTGTTAACCTCACCTGAGGATATTTTTCCGCTGATTTTTTTTGATCGCGTGTGGAAGGGAAGAAGGAGGAGGAGGAGTGAGGGAGAGGGGAAGAGAAACATCAATGTGAAAGAGATACATCGAATGGTTGCCTTCCATATGACCCCGACCCGGGCTGGGAATTGAACCCAAGACCCTTTGGTCCCTGGGCTGATGCTCTAACCACTGAGCAACCAGCCAGGGCCATTTGTATGTTTTTTAGTCTTGGTTAATGAACCCCTCCAAGGACCACTGAGGAAGGGCTGACACCAGAGGGCCTGGGGCCCTTAGTGACAGGCAGGCAGGGGAGAGCTGGGAGGGTGCTCTGGTGTCAGGCTCCCGCTGTTTGGCTCGGAAGGGACACCCGGCACATCTTCAAGGGTCTCGGCACACCCGTGAGTGCTCTCGGCTGCCACGGCAAAGGCCCACAGACGGGCTCGACACAGCAGGAACCTCCCGCCTCCGGTTCTGGAGGCCAGAAGTCCGGTCCAGGCGCCAGCAGAGCCACGCCCCCTCCAAGGGCGAGGAGGCCTGTCTGCTCCCGGCATCCTCAGGGGCAGACAGCAGCCTTCTCCCAAACCTGGCACCTGGAGCAGCTCATCCTCGGGGCGCCGGCTGCCAGGGCCAGCGGCAGTGCGCACGCTCTGGACCACAGGTGTGCCAGGGCCCCGGTCCTGCCCCGACTCCCAGGTGTCCGCGGCTGCGCTCCAGGCCTCTCCCACTGGGCCCCAGCAGCATCCGCCCTCCCAAGGGCATCGAGAGAAGGAAGTCCCTTTTTCCGCTCCTCCACGGGCTCAGACCCAAGCCCTAGGACTCCGAGTTCCAGTTCCTCCCACATGGCCCTCCCACACGGTCCAGGACAAACTGTTCCCCCGTTTCCCACTTGAGGAAGACAAGTTTGCACCTCATTTACCCAGCTGACACTGCCTGGTCTTCTGCTACCAGAGCCCAAGGCGGGCAAAACTGCATTTGGATCCTGCTAATTTGGACGGAGAGACAAGGGAAACGTACAGACTCTGCTGGGGACGCCGGGTGGGTGAACGGGGGGGGGGGGGGGGGGGGGCGGTGGGCCCAGGGCATTCATTGGGAGGCAGGCAACAAAGGGTGTGACAGTCTCAGGGAATTAACAGAAACACCGACTTGGCCGTCTGCTTGTTCTCGCTGCTCACAGGCCGCACCCCCGTCGGTGACGAAACCCGCGGTCCCTCCACACGCACTGGCTGCAGTTCTCGCAGGGACGCCCAAGGCCTAATCCCCACAGCCACACATGTCACTTACGAGCCAAAGGGACTTTGCAGAGGGGACTGAGTCCAGGGTCCTGAGGTAGGAGGCTGTCCTGATTCTCCGGGTGGCCCATGCAACCGAAGAGATGAGGAGGGGCCGGGGTCAGAGGAGAGGAAGCGGGGACACAGTGCAGTGACGTGAGGTGGCAGGGGTCCGGGGACGTGGGCGCCTCCCCGAGCCTCCAGGACCCCGGCCGTGCTGGCTCTGAGTAGGACTCTGCCCTCAGGCCTGAAATGGGTGGTTTGAAGCCACTCGAGTTGTGATCCTTTGAGACCACAGAAGACTGATACAATATGTAAGCTTCAACCAACTCGGTCGAACATTTTTCTCTTTAGTGAACACTGCACGGCCGCTGACTCCGAGACTTCGGTGGTAGCGTGGCCCCTGACACGCAGGACTCTGCGCGTCCATCCGAGAGTGAGTTCATCACAGCTGAGGTGTTCGCCGGCGTGGGCCCACAGCTCCGAGCCGCTGTGCCGTGATTTCTGCACTCAGCAAAGTAACCGATGCCGGCGCAGTCCCTGTGAAGGCGAAGCAGCGAAACCTCGCCCCTCTCAGCCGCACTCTGTGACCACTCGGGCTGTCCATTTGTTTATGATTTAAAACACGGAGAGCTATTTGTGTTTGGGAAGTGCACACTTTAGCTAGTACACTAAACACTTTCATTTGAACAGTATCTTTAAAATGTGTATTTTAATTGTCCGTTGCTTTAAAACTAAGGAACTCATCAAGAAAATAAAACGTCGCCCTGGCCGGTTCCGGACCTGCTCCCTGTGTCCGGGGCTCGGGGGTGCCTATGTTCCCAGGCCCAGACCGACTCACTTGGTCTGGAAAGCTTTCTCAAGCTTCCTAATGCTCAGCTGACCCCTTGTCAGGGCTCCCGTCACGGTATAAACAGGCTGCTTACCCGTTTGCCTGCAACAGTCCTGGTTCACACTTGTGCTCCACTCATTGGTCCCAGGGCCAGCTTTCACTTAAAAACTGCGCTGTTTGTTTGACCAACGGCACAGCTACCCTACATGGGCGCACAGGCCAGGAGCCTCAGAACCACGGCTGAACCCTGCACGTCGACATCCAGGCCTTCCGCACACTGAGAGCAACGCCGTCAGAGCGCGGTCCATGCTCCCCAGGGCCTGCGTGACCCTGTGCCCCAGGTGCCCCCAGCTGGCATCCTTGCTCCATCCCCACTGACAATTCCCCACATAGCAGCCAGTGAGTCTCTTCACATGTGGTCAGACCCTATCACTCCCCCGCTTAAGCCTTCAACTGCTTCCCATGTCAGTCAGACGACTGCTCCTTCTGCCGAGCTGTCTCCCACTGGTCCCCACCAGGTGTCATGCCGCTCCTGACCTCGGGGCCCTGCTTAATCCACCTGCCTGGAACACTGGCCCTGGACATCCCTGTGTATTGCACACTTATCTTTGCTGAAATGTCACTGTACCAGAGATGTCACCTGACCACCCTACATAAAGCAGCAACACCTCCCCCAACAGTCCTCCTTCCAGCGCTCCCGTTTTCTCTACAGGACTCACTGCTGATATAATCATCTTCGTTCCTGCCTTACTGTGGCCAGGCACTGTTCTAGGCTAACAAGGACCAGATCCAAGTGTACGAGCACAGCGTCTGCTCACGGACGGAGCCATGCACCTCTGAGCACTCAGTTTACATGCCGACTCCAAGACTAGCACTGAGGACACCATGTTGTACTGAGTATTTACAGATTGTATCCCACTACCAGCTTGTCTCTCCCAGAAATCCCTACCGTTCAGGAGAGTCTGGAATGGCACAGGGTCATAGTGAATAAGTGACAGAATGAACCTCCTGAAGGTGGGGGGCCAGACCAGATTCTTTCATGAGGCTCCTTCCTGCTCTGCCGCCTCCCCCCTGCGGCTACAGTCCCTGAAGGGTTTTGAGAGCATTTCTAAATCAGAAGCATGTGACCTCCATTTGACAAGGATAGACAACCATTGAGAAACTTTCATTTTTAAAGAAATTTATTTATCTCACCTTTTCCTGGCCAAGTCAATGGCTTTGGTCATTTGTACAAAGATTCTAAAAACTGGCTTTCAGCATTGGTTTTTCCAGGCAAATGAACTTCATCATAACAAGCTTGAGCTCTGCTCTCAGGCCCTATGAAGTCTGCTCTGATCACCCAGGCTGGATATAATCTAAGCCTGGAAGATGCCTCCTGCTATCAGTCTGGGGCCCACTGTGACCACCAGCTCCATGCCTTCCTCTCCAACTCCCCCAGAGGTCATGTGTATTTGCGGCAGAGAAGCCTGCGAAATGCGTGACTGTATTATATCAAAAAGTCAGCAAATACACGTAGTAACTAGAACTCATCCCCTATCCTAGGTTACTCACCAGACAGGTTACATGATGTGCACCAATTAACGTGCCACAGAAAAAATTACATTTCTGAAAAAAAGAAGAAAAAAGGAAACCCAGAACACAGCCTTCCTCCTTTGATCTGACGGACTGCATAGTCCCAAAATTCACACACCACCACTTTCCGTGCCAACCGTCCTCTGCGCTGTCTCAGCACATCCAAAGAGGCAGCCACACCCTCCACCGGGATTTGGGTTCTCGCTTCAGCAGCAGCCAAGATGTGTCTTCTGTCTTCCAGAACTCGGCCTTCAAGTCTCTCTCATGGGTCCCCAAATTCCACGTAGCATAAAAAATAGCAAAGCACAAGAATACACTTGCAAACGTTAAAAATACAACCGTCACAGTAACAAATACGACCACACAGCAGCTTACAATCTAGATCCTATTTTTTTATGTAAGAGCATTTCATAAAAAGCAAAACAATACATAAGCTGTCTTTTCCAAACTGAACGCAACTAACGATCATACTCCGCACGTGACAACATAATACTGAAACCATCTACCAGAATGTACTGGAGATGTGTTTACCATGATGAAAACGCAGACAGAAAGACGGGAGAGAGGAGAAGGAAGACTCCTGGTTTCGGCTTCTCCAAGCAGTCAGTCCTCCTTACCAGCTGAAGAGTCCAGCAGCCGATAACCTGGGGTACAAGTGGGGGAGATTTAGCATCACAGCGCAGACACCCAACTACCATGCAAAATGCTACCACCGGCCCTAAGGTCGTCTGAAACACTCCAACTTCAGCAGAGCATTGACACGTTTCCATCCTGACTTCAGTTTCACACTTCTCTGACATTTCTTTTTTGTTGTTGTTGGTCCTGTGACCTAGGTTTTCACCCTAGTGACTGGGCTGGTCCACATTTTGCGGATACTTCCTGTAAGCCTATGCACATTTCACAACCACATGCCAAGGCGTTCTTTTTTTCATCACCAACGTTAAAAAGGTAACATCTAAACGAAAATCTCAGCAGCCTCGGCCTCTCCGCCCCCACAGCCGCCTCCCACCCCCCAAGGCCCAGACATTTGGGTGCGGGGCATCACAAACGCCCCCAGCAGGAGGGCGGCCCCGTGGCCCAGCCGCACCTGCTCCCGCGCCCTTCAGCAACACTCGTAGCTGTCTATTTGCTGGTGGATCTCCACGATCCGCTTCCCCATCAGCGCGGCCTCCACCGCCTTTTTCTCCACCTTCTCGCACAGCTTCATCACCCTCTCCTCCGCCTCGGCGCCCGGACTGCGGGCGGGATCCAGGGCGCTCTCCTCCGACGCTTCCACCTCGCTCTTGATTTCGTCCAGCAGGCTCTCGATCTCCAGCAGCTTCCTGCGGGCCCTCAGGTGCGCGCGCACGTGCTCGCGCTCGAGGGCGGTGACGTCCCGGCGGACGGCGTCGAGCGCGGGGCTCAGGGACCGCTCCCAGTCCTGCTCGGGCTCCCGCTCCTCGTCCGCGTCCACGGGCCGCATCGCGCCGTCCGCGGCCCGGTCACCGCGCCCGAGAGGCCGGCCTGCAGACAGCGAGCGCCGGGCGCGGGGCTGAGCCCGGTCGAACCGCCACTCTGACGAGCAACAGGTTCTTACAACTTTCGCAGCTGAGACGGCGTCCAAAATGGACTCCCAGCCGTCTGCCAGAGCGCTGCTGGCGTGCGGCCCTTTTACGACACGCCGGAGCTCCTTTATGGTCACGCAGCTGGTGGGAACTCGCTGACGCGCACGCGCACGCGCACGCGCACGCGCACGCGCACGCGCACGCGCACGCGCACGCGCACGCACTCCGACGCTCTGCTCCCCGAGCGCTGGAGCCCGCGTGCCTGTTCACACCCTGCTTGAGATTTATGGGCGGCTTCGCTGCGCCGGGGCAGCGAACAGCTTCGTGGGGCGCTGGCTGTGTAATGTTCAAGTACTCAGCGTTCCAAGTCATAACTAAGCAAAGGAGGTCGGTACTGTCTGAATGGACTAATGCACCGAGCAAGTAGGCGCTTCACCCGGTGTCTGCATTTCAGTCTAGCCCGAGGAAGTCGGGTCGTCGCTTTCCCAGGAATTCAGTTGAGAACCGCAATATCCCAGTGCTGATGTTAATGGCCCTGTTCTCCTTACAGCCCTACCCAACCTCCCAAGATTGTTCTACCGTGTAGGTTTTACCCTGCCTGGGGTTGTGGTTATGCGTGCATCTCGCTTTACCAGACTGGGGTGTAGGTCTGATTCAACACCGTTGTCTCCTGCCACCTGGCACCGAGTATACCCTTGGAGAATATCACTGAGAGAATTCAGAAAGAACTCATTCTGCTGTGTGCTGTATAAGCCCCTGTCTAAGACACAGGCCCTGGGGGGAAGTACCGAGTCCTCTATTTCCTTACAGCCCTCATCAGCTGGGACACAGAGCAAGAGCTCAGTAGATGTTGCTTTACCATTACTTCCCAATAGATATGTGTATGTCACTGTGGAATAGATAGATAAGGTAAGTTTCTAGGTTGTTCACTCTGTACATCTAGCAGATAATATTTGGGAGACCCTCTTTGCTGGTTGTCAGGGCCTCTTTGCTGGTTGTCAGGGGTCACTCTCAGCTTTTTATCCTCCCCTGAGGACTTTTTTTTTTTTTTTTTTGCATTTATCTTCAGATAGAGCGTGAGGGAGAAAGGGAGGAAGAAAAAGAGAGAAACATCAATGTGAGAGAGACACATCAAATGGTTGCCACCCACATGATCCCGGGACACTCCGGTCCGCAGGCTGACACTGTAACTGCTGAGCCAAACCGGTCAGGGCACTCTCTGGTCCTTGAACACGGTCCCCTCTGTCAACATAAGAAACTCAAATCTGTGAATAACTTGTGAGTTTGAGCCAAAACTGTATACAGTTGACAGGAAGCAAAATCTCAATGGATTGAGATAATGCTCCAGAGGATGGCAGTCTTGCACCTTTTTTATATATTACAATCAGGAGACATGAGTGGGTTACATGAAATCTACTGGTGATCGGTTAGGGAAGTGGGAGAAAGCAAAGTGGGGAAACCTCTGGGATTGGGTAAAAAGTAAAATGATAGGCACCTACATCTTTTACATAGATGGGTATAGGATAGTTAACAATCAACAACAATCAATAGTAAGGGGATTTATTGTCTCTGCAGAGTGGTGTCCGTGCTTTTCGGGGTCTGGAAAAAGGAAAATTACTTGCACATTCCAAAAATATGTCATCATAGATGCAAAAAGACAATAGACAGGCTCAGTTAAGGTAAAGACTGACCTTTGTTAGGGAAGATGCTGGCCTAGGACATGACTACCTGCCATAAACTGCTCTTAGTTAAACAGTCTTAATTTCAGACCACCCTTTGTGGTTACTTTAGGTCTTTGAGTTTGCGAGGCCACCACACAGGCCTTCCCTGAGCTTGTCAGGTTAGTGGCCCCTTTTCCCCCACACCTCCATATTCAAAGCAAGCAACAGCATGTCTAATCGTTCTCATTCTTCGAATCTCTGACACCCCTTGTGCTCCTAGCCAAAGAAAGTTTACTTTCAGGGTTTGGTTACCTGGATTCTCTTTAGCAATATAATGTAACATAGTCACAGGAGTAATACCAGGGAGCAAAAATCATAGGGGGCCCCTTAAAATCTTGCCTGGTGTCGGCTCCCAGGAATGGTAAGGGCATGATCTCACAGCAGCCAGATATGACAAAAGTAGTGGTAATTAAGTCTAGAGAGCTAAACATACCCGGAAAAGACTTGTCTTGCTTTTGGTATGTGAATGGAGTAAAATAAAATACATAGAAAACCCACAACATTTTTGAGGCAGCCATGTTAGCAAAATTGCTGCCAGCCCAGATGAAAAGAAACTAAGACTGTTCAAAATGTAAAGACTTCTAGCCTCCCGATTTTCTACCAGCAAAATGCTGGCCCTATAGCCAAGAACTGGCATATTTTTCAATGCTCTCTTCAGAAGTGGTCAAGGGCGAGATGGAAAAGGAAGAACGTATCAAAGAGCCCAGACAGTATTGTGAAGAGTAATGGACAAGGACAGGGGTTGGCAAACTATAGCCCCTGAACTAAAAATGGCTTTCACATTGCTAAGGGCCATAAAAAGAAAAACAGGACTATGTGACAGAGACTGTCTTTGGCCCACAAACCCTAAAAAAAAATTTACTATCTGCCTCTATAGAAAAAGTTTACCAACACCCCCCGTAGTGAACCACTTCTAGGTTTCAGAACCAAAACCTAGCCAAGGAATTTTCCTTCTCCTTAAAGTAGAGAAACTTGGCAATATTTGCCCCATGGAATGTCAAAATAGTTGTAATTCAGTGACTTCTGTATTGGTCATTCTTCCCTTACAAATGGACATTAGCTTGTCCCAGTCTCACCATTGTATATTGGGTCTGTATGAGTGTTATAGAGTGCATGTTGTGTCCCCCAAAATTTGTATGTTTAAACCCTAAGCCCCAATTAGATGGTATTTGGAGACGGGGCCTTTGGGAGATGATGAGGTCATGGGGAGCTCATGATTGGATGAATGCCCTTATAAGAAGAGAACCAGAGGCTAGCTAGCTCACTCTCTCTCCACCGCATGAGGACACAGCGAGAGGCAGACATCTGCGAGCCAGGAAGCGAGCTCTCACCAGACACCAAACCTATGAGCACCTTCATCCTGGACTTCCTGCCTCCAGAACTGCGAGAAATAAATGTTCGCTGCTTTAAGCCATCCCGTCCATGATGTTTGCTAGAGGGGCCCGAACCGACTCAGACAGAGGCCAATAACTTGTCTTTTTAAAAATTCATAGGCCTCTGGGCCATAGAAACATATTTAAACCTGATGTGGATCACAAGGTCCTAGACTTCTAGTCTGAAGCCACGACTGGAAGAAATTTGGGGGGATATTTGGATGGGGATATAGAGAGGAAACTTTACATGTGTGATTGGGGGCCATGGGCACAGAGTATGGTCAGTTGTATAAATGATCTCAGTTCTCCGCCCCTTCTTGCATCCATGTCCTTTGCCTTGTGCCTTGGCCAATGAAATATTAGCAGACATGAAACGAGCACAGGCTTGAAGCATGCTGATACAGTGGGGCTCGCTTTAATCTTGTGCTCTGCCTTTGCTGAGATGAATAAGCTGGGTCGTCACAGAGCTAAGGAGGAAGATGAGAGAAACATTGAACCAGGCTGCCCTAGACAGGCCCAGCCTATCAGCCAGCCTGCAGAGACACTACTGAGCCAGTCCAGGTATCCAACTCCCAGCCAACTTGCAGACACTTGAGAAATGTTTATTGTTGTTACTGGAGTTCGGGTGGCTTACGTAGCAAAAATTAACTGACACACTTAACTGTGAAGCCTTTCTTGGTAAGATTAGTTCCAAATAAAATGCCAGTCTCTCCTTTCCTCCACATTTTTATTTGGTTCAGTCTCAGGTGGAGGAATCTCAACAAGGTGTCCTAATGTTTTGGGGCGTTTGTTTGTTTGTTTGTTTGTTTTGTTTGTTTTTTAAAGAAATGTCAGCCTGGAGTATCTTCTTCCGGGAATGAATTTTCACCCTTTTTGCACCCTGATCCCAAATGTATTGTGTCCTACTTTTCTGGATGTCGCAGCACCAGACTCACAAGTTTCAGAAAACAGAAATCAACCACCATTATAGCCACTTTTAATGTCATCACCCCATGCACAGATGATGTTCCCAGAACCTTGTATGTTTTATAAGCAAGATCACATTGCCGTTGTCAGCTGTACCACTCGGCCTCTAAGGAAGCCCAAGCTGGACAGAGGCAACAGGAGAGAAAGGAAAACAGTCTTGGTTCCAGCTTTCCCGACGCCACTCAGTTCCTGCGCATCATCTGTGATCCACCGTCTGTGAACTTAAAACCCCCTTGGGAGAGGTCTTCCATCACGTGATCAGTTATGGCACAGGAAGTCTGACCAACAGTGTGAAGACCTAAAAGGGGGACTGATTTCTACCAGAGTTAATGTAGGAAATTTGGGTAAATTCCAGGTGATCACCATTTAACACGTTTTTTTTTTTATCCTCACCCAAGGACACTTTTGCATTTATCTTCAGAAAGAGCGGGAGGGAGAGAAGGGGAGAAGAGAGAGAGAGAAACATCGATGTGAGAGAAACACATCAAGTGGTTGCCACCCGCACAACCCCAACCGGGGCCAGGAACAAACCACAACCGAGGTGCATGCCCTTAGCGAGAACCGAACCCAGGTCTTTCTGGTCCATGAGCCAACGCTCTAACCGCTGAGCCAAACCGGCCAGGGCATCATTTAATACATTTTATCCATAATAACAGGTCAAATCACAGATGTGTAAAGAAAACTGCAAGATGAATCCAGTCACTTATCTGACCGCAACTTCATGAGACCCTGAGCCGGAACTGCTCAGCTATGTTGCTCCCAAACTCCTGAAAAACAGAAAGTGCAAGAAATAAATGGTTGTTATTTTAGGCCACTAAGTTTTCAAGTTAGCTATAGTTTATAGGGAGAAAAAAAAAG